TTTAATACTGCGGGGGATCTTTCATATTTACGACTCCATGTAAATTGAAGTAATGAAATTATACGGTGATAAATGTTCAAATCACATGAAATTTGAGTGAATGTTTACTGCTGGGTAATAAAACCTTCGCACAATCGCTCTCATGAATGGGGAATTGTATTTATTTGCGAATTAGGGGGCGAGACATTTCGGCATGTTGTTGGTATTGTCCGTTGTGATTTCAGAAATTTTTAGGTTTTTATAGTTCTACCGGAATATTCATTTATTTCTCAAGCAATAATAATCAATTAATAAATAATAATAATATCTATTAATTATTTTAAAAATATTTATTAATTTTCTCAAAATATCTTGAATTCATATTCGCAAGATTCTACGCCATTGATTTCTGAGTAGCTAATCGATTAAATCCTCCCCCGAAAAAATGAAAAATAAAAATTCGAAAAATTGTGTGCGAATCGTGGAATTGATGAGTCCAATGGGGAATATTCCGATATTTTCTTTGAAATTAAAAAAATTGAGCAAAAACTTGTATGCGGAAGGGGGAGTTGGTGGGCGGGGAGTTCGGGGGGGTTACTAACCAACCCCCGAAGAATGTTTGGCCTTCAAAAACAGAGACGAGAACTGGGAAGAGAGCGGTTGTAGACCGAATGAGGGGTTGAGAGAGCCGAGGTTCATGCCAGGGCCATTTAACGGTCTTTGCGAAATTGAGTCATCACGCGGTTCGCCCGGAATCTCGGATATTTTCCTCCCGATGCTTCCACACCGGCTTCCAGGCATCAGCCACCCCATCCCCAACAACCATCCCGGTTCAAACCTCCACCTACACGTTTACCTCGTAGAAACCCTCGAACCGGAGAGCATCCTGCGGCTACCGATGTGCACCTCGATCGTGGAATTCGAGAGTGCATGCCAATGTGTTTAACTGATTTCCCCTTCATTTTCCATTTTTCATCTGCTCTCACAACTCCCAGGGGAGTTGTGTGAAAATAATTCTCATGATCCTCATCCTCCAATTGCTTTCCAACCTGCTAAAGTGTTTCATTCATTCACCATTGAGTGAATATTTTATTCACTGAACCTTCTAATCCCCTTTTAATTAAATTACCGGTTTTTTGCGTTTTCTGAGAAATTGTTGATCGTATTGGCGTTAAAAAATACACCATTTTCACATTTTATTTTGACTTCATCACTCACGAAGTTTCATGAGTGTGCCATAATTTTTCTGTGTTCTTTTTAAAGGCTTATGATTTTTTTTAAAGTTCAGCAAAAAAAAGCAAAAGAATTAATGAATGATCATAAGATTTCGGGGGTCATAAATAATTATAAAGTGCGAAGTGGGCACATTTTTTACGTCAATTTCATTAGTAATTTTCCAGATCTTAAAAAGAACTTAGGAAACCGGTAATTTTGGCTAAAAAGGGACATTCTTAAAATACTCAGGTCGAAGGGTCAAGTGTATGTCCATTTGCTGAAAGTGCCACATGGATTGCACTAATTAACCTTGAGGAGCACTCCAACCTCATGTAAGGCCACAGCTTCCTCGCTAATTCCGCTCGCTACAGTACACCATTTCACCCTCAATTTCACCCATTAAATTACTTCTACCTTGCACGATTATTTTCGAAATTTCAGGACAACTATAAATTTACTTTCCACTTCCCACTGAAAATAAATTGAAAATGACTGAAAACCCACCCCCAAAATTATCCCAAAAATTACTTCACGGAGAAAAAAAAGTCTGTTAAAAATGACGTATTTTTTCGAGAAATGATAAATGAATTTTCATTGGTTATTTCCCTCTGCATGATCAGTGAAGTATATCAAATTTTTTTCAACCGGCAGAATGCGAAACGCCAAAGAAAAGAAAACTAGTGACAAGCGATAAATTTGGTGGGTTAAACCTGAATTTCCGCAATGCCCGGAAAATTAATGCCGATATAACTCGGAGTATTATGGTATACCTTCAGAGAAAGGTCTTCCTTTTCCGATGTTAGAGAGGGTATAATCTCGGTGAAACTTTGAACGAAGAAACTTGCTTGGGATACGTACTTTGTGGAAAATAATTTATTCACCGAGTTGCTCTCCCTCTGACGACTACTCCTTCCATTTCCTCCTTCTCTACTTCCCTTTTATGCCCTCTGTCTTTCTTACCGAGCGTTTAATATCGTTGAACGATGAAAGAAGAGATCGGATGAGAACTGATGGGAAACGACAGTGGACTCGAAAGAAAGAGAGGGAGAGAGATAACGTCGATTGAAATTAAATCGTGTGCAATCAATATTGGCAGCGAGAGATATCGGATATGGATGAGAGGATGAAGGGTACACCGATTAGACTTTAATGAATTTTCAACGGTACTGCCTCAAAATTCATTAAGGGATGGGGGGAGGAGCCCGGGGTGGGTAGATGGAAGAGGGAAAACTGGGAGGGAAACAAAATAAAAAGCAAAAGCAGAGTGGAGGTACCAACCGAGATACCGGTTCACAAGTACTAAAAGAGACGCAGGTGCTGGAGGAAGAGGGCAGGAGGCGACCAAGAGGGATGGAGTCTCGTTGGGAGTCTTCAAAGGAAAAGTAGAGGCGCGGGTTCTCCTCACGGGGAATATTAAATTTCAACTCAACAGGGAGGGGTAAAAACGTTTCATTTAATTGCAAGGGTCCAAAAGACCTCGACGAAATAATTCTTCCTCGACCGCTTTGGCTAACCAGCCAACAAATTTCTCGCGTTTCTTCTCCATTTTGAGGCAAATTGAAAAATTTTCTTCTTCTATTTCCACAAGGCTCTTCTGTATTTATTTGTCGAGGTGGCCATCACATTTTTATTGAATTACCCTATTTTCATTGCTATTAGGACTTGTTGCATTTTTTCTGCAATGCATTTTCGAAATCACAATTTAATAATAATTCAAGTTTTTGATAATTAGAAATTCAGAATTGTTGTATCAATTCATTAGTCATTGGAGTCTAAAAAAATTGAAAATATTTTTGTCATGCGTAAGTCGAGATAAAAATCTGCAATTGGATTTTATGTTCAAATACATGATCAATCGAAATTGTTTAATCTTCTGGAAATCGTCTCTTGATGGTAAAAAAATCGCTGACATCATGAAGCAATGGCTGCCTTTGCAAAATTCACTTATAAACAGCCAGAGTAAATTACATCTTCGACTTAATCATAAAATCGTTTATGGATATTGAACAGTCTCTTTGACTGTGATGTGAAGCCCCTCCATAATTTCTGGTTCGATAAATAACCGACTCCCTCAAACTGTCGTTCAATGCCATCAGTAGCAAAAGGGCGGAGGGGGGAAAAGAGATCCATTACGTTAAAATAATCGAGTCAGACGAGGGGGATCATGACTCATTACAGAAACTCAAAGAGATCAATGAAGGATGATAGGAGTGACGTTCTGACGCTGTTTAACACCACCACGTGTACATTCAAGTACGAGTAATGTACTTTGGCCTGCGCCATCTGCTCATCGTCATGTCGTTGTCTCTCTGCATACTCCGATTTTTCGGGGGACTTTTTCTTTTGCCCATAAGAAGTGACGAGGAATAATAAATCTGTCCCGTTGATGAAGACATTTTCGATGAGTATCTATGAATTTAAAATTCTTCTATATATACTAATAAACTCTTCAGACATGGGAAAAAAGCAAAAACCACATTTTTTTTTTGATCGTAGCCCTTGGAATTATCCGGACCATTGCAAATCCTCGGTACGACAAATTCGTCACACAATTTTCCCCTGATTTCTCGACTGCTGGCCCTCAAATATTCTCTCAGCCTCACGTCTAGAGGACATCGTCGAGGCGTTAGAACCGTGAATTTATCATCAGCTGACGTCCGTCGGTCGCGAATAAATAAAGCACCTCGGCGCCCAAGGCTACAGCTAAAGCAACTCCTCGTTTTTCACATCCGCCATGCCTGTGCGTTATCATTATTCCCCGTTTATTATTATTGCAATCTATTTCATTATTTATCCATTTTTTCTTTGTATATGGCCGCTTCAGGTTGTACCTGCCAACTTCCTAGCTTCTATTCATGGAGCGGTCATCTTCTCGGACGAGTGATCGTCCAGGCAAATGGCTTCACGCCAATATAATTACACCCGGCGCGTGTCAATTACTATCAATTCCCAGGCACTTCCAACCCTCCGCTATTATTATCTGTTGTCCTAGAGGGGTCGACCGATGAATTTCTAGGTGTCAAACTGTTACTTGTCATCGATCCCAGTCGTTAAGGGTACTTGATTTTTTTTAATCCAGCCATCTTAATGTTTTCCCCTTTTTTCATACGAAAATTGGAAAAAACGATCGAATGATCAATTCATGGATTTATTTGTCGGTTTTCTGTACAATTGATCCGCAATTAAAATACTCGATTTGTTGACTGAGTTATTTGAATATTAAAAAATGATAACAATTCGTATCGAATACCACATTTATAACAAAATTTGGTAAAAATTTTTATCCGTGTAATGACACTCAATTTGTAGATTATCTAGTGCGTAAATTGATCTGCAAATAACGCATGACCCGATATTTTTCTAATGTAATGGAATTTTTACCTGACAGTTGAAACAATGGTAAAAACAAGTTTCTCGTAATTTTTCTCTGATTTTCTTGTTTATGTGATTTATATAAAGACACATAAACAAGTCGATTGTATCCGCAATGAAAGACCGGTTTCTCTTCCCGAAAGGCCATTAATCAGGATTGCTAGTGCCGATAGGGGCACGCGACTTAGTATACAAGCCTCAGATATGGGCAGAACGGGTATCCAATAATTGCTGGAAAACCAAATAGAAGGATTAAATCCAATGATCGATTGAAAAAAAGTTGGCGAGGGCTAGATGTATCGCTGTGTATTCATCCAGTTACAACATAATCTCGAAATCGTTAACAAATAACTGTCTTGAAACAACTAATTCCATTTCCAATGTTAATTTGAAATTTGATTAACTCATTATCAGTGTATTTTCTCTGGTTTCAGGTCGAAACGAGCTGATTGCCCGGTACATTAAACTCCGTACTGGCAAGACGAGGACGCGAAAGCAGGTCTCTTCGCACATCCAAGTACTTGCGAGAAGAAAATTGCGGGAAATTCAAGCAAAACTCAAAGTGGTGAGTTTAAACCATAAAAAGATGAAATTTCCTCTCAACTAAAACAATATTAAATAAATCAAAAAAATTAGCTACAAAAACGGCTATAATGAATAATTGATGTTTTTCGGGGTTCATGAATACCAAAGGAACGAATGTCGAATTAATACGAAACATTCATTAATTTAATGAATTTTGAATAACCGTTCCTCCCATGAATGACAAATTAATTAAACATTTCGCGTTATAAATCACACATAAAAATAGAGCTGTCCATAACATTTAATCAACAGCACTGGTGCATCACTGGGTTTAATAATTAAAGCGATTCCACGTACAATTGCACGTTGGTTAATAAATCAGTGCAGCCGTGTGCAATGCGTTCACAATTCGAATGAGCGAGGTGGATTTTGGGGGGGTTGGGGGTGGCAGGAGGATGGTAGGGTGGTAGGGTGGTAGGGTGGTAGGGGGTGAAAGCCTCTATAGAGGTAAAAGCTGTAGTCTATAGTCTCTCGGTGGTCACTCTCGGCCTGGGGGAAAACAGGGGATGTAGGTGGTTTCAACCGGGCCGTGTGGGTTACGCGAAATTCACACAGGAACAACGTCGGGTATCCGTCGATATAGCCAAACTCTCACACAAAGAGATTTTCAATGGTGAGGTTGGGGCATGGTGGAGGGATTTTGAGGGACTCCGGGGCAGGAGCTTTTGTTGTGTCGTGGGCGTTTGGATGTTCGAGCGTTTCTGTTACCGCAGTGGCGCATGCCATGGACGTTATTCACCGAGAGTCACCCTCTTCTGTATATGTGTGATGTAATTTGCTGGTTTCCGTTTCCGTTCAAGTTATATATGCTGGCTATCCAACTATGTTTCAAACGTACTCCCTTTATGTCACTGCGAGACCCTGCGGTGAATAACAAATATTTGCACTCATTTGTGTTCATTAATTTGCGAAATTATATGGTAAATCTCTGGGATAACGTTTTGCGGCCTGCGTTAATTGGGTAGATTTAATTGATTCTCTTTTTTTTAAATTATCTTGTGGTGGAGGATGACGGTGAATATTCAATATAATTACGTGTCTTTGATGTAATTCCGGGGTGAAAACTAGTTGAGGAATGTTTTACGAAATTAATATGGGATTTTTTTGGAGATAAAATTACCATTCCATCATGTAAACTTTTATTCCAAAAAATCAATTCAGTAATGCAGTGATTAATTTAGAGTGTGAAGTAAAAAATTGGAACCAGCGGTCGAATATTAAAGATTTATCAACGTGGACAAATCCAAGCCTAGTAAATATTTGAAATACATACGAAATTACTGAATGCACTGGCCTGAGAGAAAATTCGAATTTGCCGTATTGAAATACATAAATAAAATTTAAATGATATTTTATCGGGGATTTTGTATTTTCCGGCATTCGCTTTTGTAAATGAATAATTAAATTTTTTCATTTAATTCTGTATGGAAAATCATCCCGTACAGTTTTAAATATGAACGAATCTTTTATAATTTTAAAAACGATTTTGCGATTGAAAATTCAGTGCTTTTGAGTAATCAGCGGGGACCACTATAACGAAAAAAAATTTCCTACATTATAAAATGTTTTCTAATAATTTTTTCCACTGAATCATTCATAAAAAAAAACTATTTCTTATTCTTTCACCGTTTACTGTCAAAACGTCAAATATTTTCCTCAAACCAGAATATATTTTTCATTCAAGCGAACAGTTTTGATTAACTGAGACTTCGACGGTTTGGATTTATGAAATTAAAATTTTTCAAATAGAACTTTTTCTTCAGTTCGCAATTACCCACGTAATTACATCGAGTTTATTTACTCCCAATGAGGGGAATATTTTCGCGCAATTAATGGCGTTTCAATAAGTTAAAAAAAATATGAAAAAATTGAGAGAAAAATGTGGTGGAATGGACGTGGAGCTCAAAAGGATGGGATGGGGTTGTTGGAGAATGTCGATAAACACAGCGCGTGGTCACTTGCACTGGGGTGGGCAGAGGATTTTTTTTCCCCATGGCCCCTCAACCCTCTTCACAAAATTCAACATACCATTCGCTTGTGCGTTTTTCGGTCGAAAAAAGAGGAGAATAAAAGGGAAAAAAAAACAGCCGCCTCTCAATTAAATGAATCGATTCCGCGGTATGGACGTCCACACGCGCTCTAGTGGGTATATCCAATACCGCACATACTAGGGTGCACTTCTAGTTTTATTTCACTCCCCTCCCACACCACCGGTTTAAACTCGTTGCCTGGACAATGTACGTGCTCAATAAATATAGACGCACATCCAATGAAAATATTTTCCCTTCCATTTGAATTTCTCCCACTGTGGAATGCTTTTTTTTTTCATTTCCAAATTCAATTCGCGAAGCGAGAAAAAAGATTTTTTTTACCTGGGGATTTGACGGAATCAGTGTTCAGTGACCAATTTCATCGATTAATTCTTTTGTATTGTTGGAGAAAAATATTCATTTATTATTGAAGAAAATTTGGAAATACTGCAAGGATTATTATCCAATTGCTGATGCCCATCGGTTTTGCAATAATACTCTGGATTTTTTAACCTTTTGTGCCAGAGTTAATTTCAACAATTCCGACAATTGATTTCGAATAGCGAAAATTGTAAACCAAAATTCTGTTCAAAGAATATTTTAATCGATTCTCATTATCAATTTATTACGGTCTGAAGTAATTTCAAATAAAAAAATTGAGTATGGTAACAAATTGCCAGAAAAAAGTGCAAAAAACGAATTCAATTTCAAAATAAAATTTACGGGTGTGCAAGGGAATGGTGTTGGGAACCTAAGAAACCTGAAGCCAGGGAAAATAGGAGAGGGATGAAAGGCGCGAGGATAAAGTACTCGATTACTCAAAGTGACGAATGATCGAGTCCCACGCGAGTCAATGCAAAATCGTCCAAGTGTTGTCCTGCAGGAGTACGAAGGGCTCGAGAAGCTGCACCAGAGGTGTATATGTAAACTCGAATATCAAAACGTAAAAAAAAACCAATAAATATTTGAGAGAAAAGGAGACAGGGAGATAAGTCACGGTTTGAAATTATCAACTCCCACTTGTGATTTTCAATTTGTCCTTTTTTATTTCTACTCTCCTCAGTAGAACACCCACGTGTCCAGTCAATTTCAATTCTCGGCGTAATTGCTTTTTCGCACCAAATCATTTTTTCAATGTCCATAAAAAAAGCCATTTGGCTTCTGATATTGACTGCCTGCATTAAGGAATTAATATCCGGGCGAGTACTATTTTACGTTACGATATTTTTCCTCGTCGATAGGTAATAAAACGGCTAATTAACAATTAAATTATTTATGAAGCGATAGTATTAAGTGCGATGGGGTGATTGCCGTAAACTTCAAGATAAAAATCGGATCTGTTGATTTTCATTGTTATAAAAGAATGGAGTAGAGAATGAGGGGAACTCATTATTCGGTGATTTATGGAGTAATTATTGCTCTGGAATTTTTTTTTCCTGTGTATTTTCGTCATAAAGTCACATATTGGTATAGAATTAATTAATACCACTAGTGGATTATATCGTTGCCATGTGCAGTGAAAATATTGCTCCGCACTGATGCTGTTTCATCCCCTCAATTCCGTTTGGTCATCCGTGTTTATTCATTCTTTATATTTGCTGGACCACCAACGGTGGCCGATCGTGCTAGCGAGAGATTAAACCCCCAGGCCAAAACCATTGCACAACTGCAGATTGATATATACCTATACTTTCCCCGTACCCCATGTCACGTTTTACCCAAAACCATGGTTTTTATAACAGATACCTATGTATTCGGCAAATGCCTCAAAGCAATGGGTTGTGTAAAAAAAATCAGAGCTATTTCCACTTTGGGTTTTTTCGTTGAATCGATACCTTAAATCCAAATTGAAACAGAAAATAAAATTTAACAAATTTTTGCGCTCCAAATGGAATAAACATTCAATTCCCAACTGATGCTTTTATTTCCATTGTAGATAAATATTGTCCGAGATTGATTGGAAGAGTGAAAAAAATAGTATTGGACTACATGCATGAGCGATTGTTTTGTTAAAAACAAAATGCATTGAAATATAGCGAGTTATTTTTTTTATTTATTTTTAATATAAAACGGTTTTAATATCTGTAAAACTGGACAAGTGAAATGATTTCAAAACAGTTGATGATTATAGACGAAGAAAAGCCATTTCTTTGAAATTGACGGTAAATAGATTTCTTAGAGTGGCATATGAAAAATGATAAATTTGTTAGGAGCACACGGTGAAGGAGAAGACACTGCAGACAATCTCGAGCATGTCGAGCGCCCAGATAGTATCAGCCACCAGTGTTTTACACAACAAGATGCCCCCGACCTTAATGAGGACCTTTGCCCTTCATACTTCCACCCCCGTCTCCTATCCTGACCCGGTAAGTCCCCCAGGGGCGATATTTCTCCCCCAAAAAGCAAAAATCTCAGCTCAAACTCACGGAGATGTCTAACCGCTCGAGTAAAAGCTTCATTACTTGGCTGAAATAACTCCAAAAATATTTGTTTACTCGCACATTGTCCTGAGTGTATAGAATCCCAATTGCTTGATTAAGGAGGGAAAACAATGCTGTTGACTTGGAATAAAAATGTGAGGCACAGTAACTGCGGAAGGCTTTATGAGTTGAACTAACAAAAACTTTGGAGAAGAAACAGAATCATTTCCCCTGCTGCTCGCCCCTTGGGGTTTCTTGTTGTGTATTGTTGAATGTATCGTTTAAATGATAAATTATATACTGTTTTATGTACATGTTGTTTCTTCATGCGTTAACTATTCAGTCGTTTATAATTTTCTGTGAAGGAGTTATTTGAAAATTTATTTTACTCGCTCCAGTGGAGGAATTTGCTATAATTATTTTTTTACACAGCTCAAAATATTACTCGAAAAAATGGCAACTAAAATATTGGCACTGTAAAAATAATTATCCTTTTTTTATCCCCGCAGAACTTTTGGCAGCCAGGACTGCAACCAGGTACCTCCCAGGATGTCAAGCCCTTCCCACAGTCGACGTACACCGGTAAACCAGCGACAGCGGTTTCGAGTGGTGATATGGTCCAGGCACAACCGCCACCGCCTTGGGAAGGTCGTGCCATTGCCACTCATAAACTCAGGCTTGTCGAATTTTCCGCCTACATGGAGCAACACCGAGACCAAGATATCGTATGTACTTGATTTTATTTCGAACAATTTATTATCACAAATGAAATAATCAGAAATTATTTTCTCCGGAATTTCAGTACCACAAGCACCTGTTCGTCCATATAGGTGGCTCAGCGACTTATGCAGATCCACTGTTAGAGGCGGTGGATGTTAGGCAGATCTATGACAAATTCCCGGAGAAGAAGGGCGGCCTGAAGGAACTTTATGACAAGGGACCACAGGCTGCTTTCTTCCTTGTTAAATTTTGGGCAGATCTCAATACCAACATTCAGGATGAAGCTGGAGCTTTCTACGGCGTCACGAGCCAGTAATTATTTCTTATTACACTTACATGTTAAACGTACACTGCAATCGTAAATTGATCAGTTGAGCTCACTGTGGACTCGTGTATGAATAGAGAGACGTTACCACATGAATTGTTAATAATTGAGTAATTATACGTCTTTTTCAGATACGAGAGCAATGAGAACATGACGATAACGTGTTCGACGAAAGTATGCTCGTTTGGTAAACAAGTGGTGGAGAAGGTGGAGACTGAATACGCGAGGTTCGAGAATGGAAGGTTCGTGTATCGCATCAGTCGTTCGCCAATGTGCGAGTACATGATTAACTTCATTCACAAGTTGAAACATCTACCAGAGAAATATATGATGAACAGTGTACTCGAGAACTTCACGATTCTCCAGGTAAATGCTGCCAGAGTTCTAACCACATTCATTTAATTAATTTGCCGAGCTGAAGTGCAATGAAATGAAATAAATCAAATTTGTGAAATTACCCGAGTGCAATGCACTGGCAAATGCAGCTGCAAGTTTGGAGAAAATTTTCAAATATTTCGCATGAATTTTATCATTTTTTATTGCTAATTGCGTTTGTTTGTTTGATTACAGGTTGTTACAAACAGAGATACACATGAGACGTTACTCTGTACAGCATATGTTTTTGAAGTATCAACGTCCGAGCACGGTGCTCAGCATCATATATACAGACTTGTCAAAGACTAAGTCTATCATTCTTCTATTTCTTAAATTATCTGCTCGCCATGCAGCCATCCACCCCCATCAGTGCCTACCACCACATGATTACAACAAGAAATCAATAACAAAAATTAATGAATCATCCATTATCGAATCACGCGCATGGTGTGTGTTAATCGCACACTATTACACTTACGCAACACAAAGAGAGACAGGAGGAAAAATAGAAAAATTGAATTTGAAATAATGAAACTGCAGGTATACACCAGTGACAGTTATACAACTGCGCAACATCGGTGAATACGTTGGTATGTAAATACAGATCACGTATTTTGTTTGCGCAAATTTATATTCATTTTCATTTTAGCTTCTGAAATTTTTAGGTTTTACGATGTGTGGATCTTTACTTATGAATTCGTTTATAAGTTGTGATCTCAGATGATCCACTGTCGTATTGTTGAGTTATTCTGAGGTTTGACGATTTATTTTAGCGAACGATAATCAGAGAATTATCAAAATTACTGTTATAAGATACTGACCGGTTCCACTTAGTTTTTTTTATTCTAATAGTCTTGAGATTTTATTTAACTTATTTCGGTTTATCTTGTGGCCAGACGACAATAAATTCATATAGTATTTTTATTTATTGGAAAACATAAAAGGATTGGGCTTTTCAATTTTTTTAATTTTCGCTGTCGTAGGAAAAATTGACAATAAAAATGACTAAATATTCTGAGATATTTATTTTGAGGATTGGTTCAGTATCCGAATAACTTAGTATTATGGTCGACGCGGAATTGATGAATATTGCAATTTTAAGTGCAAACACCGACACAAACACCGAAAACACAAACAGAAGAAAATTTAAAAACTCGCATTACACAGATTAGACATATATTACGAATAAGAGTATATATGTTAAATAATAACGCAATGATTACGATTTACATTGTTATAAATGATCGTGTATAAAGGTATCTAAGTGATTTTAAGTTTTAACTGAGAGATGAAAGTGGAAAAAAAGGTTTTTAAAAAAAATAAGGATGCCATTACGAATTCAAGAGTCCTCCTGATTTTTTAATTATTTTTTTAATTAGAAACAAATGAGAATGTGAAATCGGAGAGGAAGAAAATTAGCTGCACGTATTAGTTTCCAAATTCAATGAAAATTACGAAGCAAATCAAACTCATACTGAAATTCGTCTCGCCCCAATCGCAGCAACTTAAATCTAAGTTCGTTTATTACAATGCTTGAACCATTACTTTTTTTACTTTTTGTTCAACAAAAATAGCGAATTCTTAATTGCACCAATTTTTTGTGCGATCCCACCCAATTCTAGGCAGCGACCATGTAGGCTATAGGGATGTGTTTGTATTCCTTATAATCACTATAATTTTTTTACTGTAAGAATTTATCTTCCTCATCCCCCTCTCCCCGAGAAACTTTCCTCTGGATTTTATTTTCTATGAAGCTACTGCGTCTGAACTTTTTTTCTTACTTAGTGTATTGTTTTTTTTTCGTTTTTAACTTTCTACTACATTTATAATGTGATGCTAGCATGAAGTTTTCATGCTGCACTTTAGCAGAAAAGTGACCCCGGAAGTGTATTTTATTTGCCTCGTCGAATGAATGAAAAATTCATGTTTCGTTGTATTTTCTGAGGGAGAAAATTCAAAGAGAAATCGTTTTTTTTTAACATCGAACGGAATCTGTTTTGATATTGCGACAAATTACTGCAGATCGACTTGAATTTGGTTGAATCGAAATGAGATGGAACATGAACTTGCCTCTTTGTCGAGTCTCGTACTTAAAGTAGCCCTCGATGTCTCACTCGGTTGAAAAAATATTGCGGAGGGATCATGAATACAAAGTAGATTCATATTAATTTCAAATTTAATTTGGATGACAATACATTTGCGGACCATACCCTCCGGTTTCGATGAATCATTTCACTGCATTCTCTACTCCCATTACTAAATTTTTTGGTTTACTATTTTTCGTTTTTCTTCTGTTCATATTGCTCTCCGATAAAACAAACTTGCCCACTGCGCAGTAAACAACTAACATAAACTGAAGATTAAAAAAGCAAGAAAATAAAAATACATATACTTTTAGGAATACATTAAGATTAATTACCGTATTGTTACTGTAAACTAACTTTTATGAAACAAGTGGCAATGTATTTTGATCTCTCTTTAGTCAGAAAATATATCCTTTTTTATTCAGGGCCCGACAACGATAGAATGAACTATTACAATTATTTGTTTTCAATGTTTTTTTTTTCCACTTGCTCGAATAAGAAAGGACAATTTTATTTGATCGGTAATTAATTGAATTACGATTGAAAAATTATAAATTGGCAGCTTTTGTACTTCTTAGTTATTGTTACATTTTTCGTATCAATTGAGTGCAGCTATTTTTTAGAGATGAAAAAAAAATTAAGCAATTATTTCAGTTCAAATTACAATCGTGGAAATGTCACTGGAGTTCAAAAAATTTCGTCTATATCAAATATATTGAAAAGATTGCGAGTTCTCACTGGTATTTGACGATTGTAAAAATTAGGATAAAAATGTTTATAAAAATTTCTTTCATTCTTATTGGAAGATAATCGATGGAAGGAGTACATGAAAAAAGTGAATGAGCACCGACACGAATATTATTAACAGTAATGAGTAATGATTTTTAAAAATAAGTGAATTACATTTATAAGAAAAAAAAAAGTTTATGAAAATATATATTTATCTATGTCTTCTGTGAAGATAGAAAATAGTACTCTTTCACTCTATATTGATGATATCGAAATTGAATTTAAAAACTGGACAGAGATGCAAATAAAAGTGTAATTTAGAATCGAAAAAAAACAAATATTTAGAATCACAATCTCGAATTGTATACATGAGACGATCTGATGGTGCAGTCAAACTATAAAAAATGCAAATGAAACTATGTAAATAATTACGATAACGACCATAAGACATTGTTCAAGTTCCAGCGGCCATTCGATAAATAATCCATCTTTTTTTTACTATAAGCATAACTTTGGTTATTTCGTCAAAAAATATGGAGAAAAATAACAGATCGTGTTTCCTTTTTTTCAAGAATCATCTGACGATTCGATAGTAAACTACTTGCGTTAATTTTTTTTCTAGACTTACCTGAGTGTATTTTTTATTATATATTTTGTGAGAGTGTATTGCAATTTCAAGAAACGAAAGTGTAGAAATACTTTCCAGAATAATTACCTGGAATTATTTTAAAAATTGGTTGAAACAGAATCCTTAAAATTTCGCCAAGTTTTTATTTCATTCGTATTTTTCCCCATATCCTGGAACTGCCATATCAAAGAATTGAGCTTGATCATAAAGTTTTAATGAAAAAGCAAAAATAAAAAAGAAGGAACTTAAATTCAGACAAAATACTATACGGAAATATGAAAAAAATGAAAATTACCTGTATATTGTATCATCATAAATGAAACGAAGCGAGGATCAAAGTAGTTGATTTAACTAGTAAATGGAGATAAGTGAGATGACGAAGAGGTAAAGGAATGGAGCAAAATGATATATCATTAATTTAGAGGTTTAAAAGTATATAATAGAATTCAGTATATGTACAGTATTTGTAAAACATGTTTATAATTTGTATGGACAAATAAAGAATTGATATAAAATCATATTTTCACTATTGCCGTCTTCATATTTAGTCGCACGTTTCTGCGTTACGAAATTGGTTTTTGTTTTTTATTAGAAAATTTCAAATTTTTAAACTCCAGTGAGTACTTCCTCGATTTTCATGTTCCCCTGGTACTTTTTCGAAAATTTTGAATTTTTCCATTTCAGTGAATACCTCTTCAATTATCATGCTCTCCTGATACTTTTTTGAAAATTCCGAATTTACAAATTTCAGTGAATACCTCCTCAATTGTCATGCTCTCCTGATACTTTTTCGAAAATTTCGAATTTTCAAATTTCAGTGAATACCTTCTCCATTATCATGCTCCCCTGATACTTTTTCGAAAATTTTGAATTTTTCCATTTCAGTGAATACCTCCTCAATTGTCATGCTCTCCTGATACTTTTTTGAAAATTCCGAATTTTCAAATTTCAGTGAATACCTCCTTAATTGTTATGCTCTCCTGATACTTTTTCAAAAATTTTGAATTTTCCAATTTCCGCGAATACCTCCTCAATTATCATACTCTCCTGATACTTTTTCAAAAATTTTGAATTTTCAAATCTCCGTGAATACCACTTCAATTTTCACAGACAGGCAGACACCCCAGCATTGCGTGTGGCGCCCTCCCTTTCTTGGGGTGCAGTACTACGATGCCGCTGAAGTCACTCAAACCCCCAGAACTGAGTCTCTATTTTAGTCAATCCTCTTTGACATTATGGCTCGACGTATTCTAGTCAATGTTGATTGGTTGTTCAGCAAAACACTGGCTGGTCATTGATTGTCAACGTGGATAATTATCTGAGCGATTTTTCAAAAGTGAGTATGTAAACAAATTTCATACTTGTCAGGAATGCGCATTCGCACGTTGCATAACCTACATTTATAAAAAAAATAAACCCAAAAAAATAGCCCATTTGGGCCTGATAAGCCCTTTCTGAAGTCGATTACTTTCTACGAGGATTTTGGGACATGAGTTATTTTTCGTGTGACTTTTCCGTATACCTTACAATCTAACTCATGCGTTTTCCACTTGCCCCCGAAATCGGTCAATCGTCTTTAAAGATTATTCAAAGATGTTTGCCCTGTGTAATATATTCCCGCACTAAAAAAACACCGTCATAAATATCGATTAGAATCTCGAAAACAATTAATCATTAATTATCTATGTTATTGTGATCATAGTCAAAGACTCATGTGGAAACAATTTACATTCTTGATTATAAAGATAATCACATATCTATAAAAATAGACGTCAATTGACACGTCGATATATTTTTTTTATGAGTTCACAAAAGCGACATAATTTCGCATCGAAGTAAATTATTTTCATGGCGTTCTGTCTTCAGATGATGTAATTAGAAAGTCTGGAGGAGTAGGAGGTTCTCTCATCATTTGTGAAACTCCATTGTGACAAAATGATGAAGCACAGTAAGTACTACGGAATCAATGCTCCGGTCAGTTTAATATTATCCACAATTGAATTTTTAATTTTCTAGAGAATGCCCAGACTTTGAAGTACATCAGCTTAGTCACCTTAACGCTCCAAAATGCGTTGGTGGGTCTCAGCATGCGATACGCCAGGACCAGATCCGGTGATATGTTTCTGGCATCGACTGGTAACCATTTCAATAATTTAAATCTTCAGTTAAAGAAAATGCGAGTCGTTCCTTTTGTTGGAATATTCGATATTTCAATTGACTGAACATCTTGGTTTTGTTCTGTTCGTTGACATAGCTGTATTTACTTGTAGATTTACATAAATTGTATTTTCATTCCAGCTGTTGTGATGGCAGAAGTTGTGAAGTGTGTTACATGCCTCATCCTAGTATATTTAGAAGAAGGGAGTATCCGTCAATTCATTAATGCACTTCATTCAACAATTATTAAACAGCCAGTGGACACTCTCAAAGTTTGTGTACCCTCCATTGTGTATCTTGCACAAAATAACCTTTTGTATTTATCAGCGTCAAATTTAGATGCCGCAACTTATCAGGTAAAACCTTCCGTTCTCAAAATTATAAGTCCTGATTAAATAATGAAATTATCGAACGATTTCAGTGGCGAATGTCTCAATGATTTTTCCAGGTGACTTATCAACTAAAGATATTGACGACGGCCTTCTTTGCTATAGTAATCCTCCGTAGATCTCTTCTGAGAATTCAGTGGGGCGCACTAGTTCTCCTATTGATAGGAGTAGTTCTGGTGCAATTGGCTGATAGTGGCCCCTCAAAGGTTCCTTCTGGAATTGAGCAGAACCGTATCCTGGGGGTCTCGGCAGCTCTGACAGCCTGTTTCCTCTCTGGTTTTGCAGGCATATACTTCGAAAAAATACTCAAAGGCTCGGACATCTCCGTTTGGATGAGAAACGTTCAGTTGAGTTTATTATCAGTGCCAATTGGATTAATAACTTGTTATGTGACAGATCACGATGCAATAATGAAACAGGGATTTTTCTTCGGTTACGATTGGTTTGTCAGTTACTTGGTTCTACTGCAAGCAGGTGGTGGGCTCATTGTTGCAATGGTCGTCAAACATGCTGACAACATACTGAAGGGTTTCGCCACCTCTCTCGCTATCATAATCTCGTGCATTGCATCGATTTATCTATTCAATTTTAGACTAACTTTACAATTCGCCTCAGGTGCTGTTCTCGTTATCTGCTCCATTTTCATGTACAGTCATCAACCTAAACCAAAATTAATCATCGATAAATGATTAATTCTGTTGATCTATTCACAATTTTTATTTGTTTATAAACTATGAAAGTATGAAATTGAACGATGTGCATATGGCGGACAAAAATATAACAGAATTTATGTTTTGTTAATATGTGTGAAATCATGAAATTGAAGGATTAATTGTGGAGTTTTAAATTTTTAAATGGAATATTTTTATACGGATGAGTGAATGAGATATCTTTACAATGTCTGAGTATTCGTAGTATTCATTCCATGTCAGGACTACATACTATGGTAATTCAGTTTAATTTCGTGCGAAGTATTGAAGGTAATGAATAAAGAGATATTTCCTTTCACTTTCTGACACATTTTATTGTTTGAAAAACCTGAATATAGGGAGTTGATAGCTCAGTGGCCTTGTAATTGTTTGAAAGTTGGTAGAACTGAGATACTTGTCGTGTTCCTACCATTTTCCTCTCAGCACCGCTAGTCATCCGATACTAGTTCGTGAAGGCAAGTAAATACAGAAGGACAGACATGACTTCTCCGGCGTGTAAAAAATCAAAAATGGCAAATTCTTTGGAACAGCTTAAATCACTGACAACTGTTGTTGCTGATACTGGTGATTTTCAAGGTAAATTAAAAATCGTGCTTGCTTTTTTAATTTTGAATTATTTTTTGGAGCGGGAAGAATGGAGTGATTCCGGGTCATAGGCGAAGGTGATTATCATTGACGTTTTATCGTGAGGGGGGAGACGACCTTCTACATGTGTTTTTGCTGGCATCTCAATTTTTTTTTCAACTTGCGGTCAGTCGATCATACGTTATGAATTTTTGCCCTACGTTTCAGGAAGTTGTGTGCGGCCCACATGCGCTCGGTGATTTTATTTCAGAAGATACCGGCCCGCGCAATTTAAATCACCCTTTGCAAACTTTTCCTGACTTATAATTCCCGACCTAGGTTTCACCTTTGATTTTGTATATTTCATGTCACCTCATCTTGTACGATGGGTACTTGTGAATGTGTGTTCTCGAAAAATCCGGGAGTTTCTAATTTAATCAGATCTAAACGCGTGGATATCGCGATGATTCTTACAAGCCAACATTTGATAATAATTTTCTTGCTTATAATATTTTATTCTACGTAATGACATCGCATGATATCGCGTCATTACCGAATGTGAAGTCAGTAGAGGACATACGATTTTTGTATTGGATAGTCACTTTCGAGAAAAACAGCATCATGAAATCATTTTTTACAGCTATGGAACAATTTAAGCCGACCGATGCCACGACGAATCCTTCACTTATACTGGCTGCGGCTAATCAGAAGAAATACGCACACTTGTTAGATAAGGCTGTTCATTATGGAAAGAAGGCAGGGAGGTATTGTAGTTTTTAGATAAGTAAATCACCAGTGGCATGATGAGATTAATCTTTTTCAATGCTGAAGATATTTAATGAGAAACTATACGATTAAGCTATAGATATATTTTAAACTGTTGTATAACTTTGTAAAAAGTTAATTCCCGTTTACATTCAATTTATTTTTGCATTTTTTCAAATCTCTCAGGCGATTCATGTCCACATTTAATTTTTGAATCGCAATGTTATGAAACTCGCCCATTATAGCCTATTGGCTATGAAAATATATTCGTAGAGTCGGTAGATCGAATCGTTAAGAAACTACGATTTATTAAACCTTGAAATTAGCCGACCTCCGAATAGTTTAGTATGGAAAAATAAATACTCTCGGGATCGAAAATGAAAATATGTTTTCAATGACAAAGCAGTTTGATAAGCGTGACGTTTCTCCGTTGATGAAGATCTATTTTATGATTTTTCTCTCCAGTAATCAAATAATACAAGAGAGAAACTTTAATTAATACACAACTAATTAATGATTGATGAAGATCTTGAGTATTCGTAAAGTTCCGGACCCAAAGGGAGGAAGTTATTGTAATATGGCCCCATTTCTTCCATATTTTTATTTGAATTGCAGTACCCTTGGTGAGCAAGTGGAGGCTGCCATGAATATGACTTGCGTGCTCTTCGGTCAGGAGATCCTGAAAATAATTCCAGGAAGAGTTTCGACCGAAGTGGACGCTAGACTGTCATTCAATAAAGAAGCTAGTATCGAAAGAGCCAAGAAATTGATTTCTCTGTACGAGGAGGTCGGAATTAGTAAGGAGAGGGTTCTGATCAAGCTCGCATCCACGTGGGAAGGCATTCAAGCAGCTAAAGAATTGGAGGAAAAGTACGGGATCCATTGCAACTTGACACTGCTCTTCAATTTTGCTCAAGCTGTCGCTTGTGCCGAGGCTGGAGTCACTCTAATTTCACCATTCGTCGGACGTATCCTTGACTGGTACGTCGCAAATACAGATAAAAAGACATACGAACCAAAAGAAGACCCTGGAGTCATATCAGTAACAAAAATCTACAACTACTACAAAAAATTCGATTACAAAACTGTCGTAATGGGTGCGTCTTTCCGTAACGTTGGAGAAATAAAGGAGCTCGCTGGCTGCGACTTCTTGACAATCAGTCCGAAGCTTCTGGAAGATCTTGAGAAAAGTACGGAGCCCTTGAAAAAGGCGCTGAATGTAGAGGCAGCCAAGAAGTGTGATCTGCAAAAGATAAGCCTCGGAGAAGCGGAATTCAGATGGCTTCTCAATGAGGACCAGATGGCCACTGATAAGCTCAGCGATGGGATCCGTAAGTTTGCTGTCGATATGAGGAAACTTGAGAAACTGTTGCAGGAGAAAATCCAGGGTTAAAAGGTTCAGAAGTAGATGGAAATTTTATCATGATTTTTCTATTTGAGAAACATTTGTACCTATTTTTGTACATTTCTTATTGTCCTTTGAGGTTTGGGTACCGTGGGCCCTTGTATAAAGATCAATTTTTCGAATCATATTGTCTACCTTGCATTTTCGGGTATTTTAAGAAACATAAGAGTGAGAAAATCTAAATTATCACAAGAAGATGTTTATTAACGGCAATACAAAACGCTGTAATATTATAAATAAATATAATGAAATGAGTATGAATACTGTTCTCCATAATTATCTGGGAGTCACGATGATATCGAAAATGGGTGGTGAGAGAGTGAACCCATCCATTCCTTGCATTGCTGGCGCTCTGTCACCTGGAGGCAATGAAAAATTGAATTTTTGGAGTAAACAAGAGACGAAGAGGAAGTGACTATTTCTCGCGAAACCCTCCCCCAAACATTTTCGTCGACCTGAAGTCAGAAAAAATTATTCATTTTTCAGTCAGAGGAAGTGAATTTATAATGATTTCATGCCAGATCAATCAGTCATCGATCTTCATCCCTTTAGAAATTCCCAGTGATTTTTTTTTTATGGCAGATGTTTGGGGGGATCTGAATTTTGTATTGTTTTTTTTTTAATGAAACTTCTTTGGCGGGGGTAGTGAAATGAAAAATCGTCACGAAAATAGGAACGAAAGTGAGGCAATCAATGTGACGGATGTATTGACATCTCTGGTTCTCTCCTATTTTTTTTTTTTCATCAGTCGATTTGGCATGAACTATTACGTGAGATGATTTAACAAACCAGCTCCGAAAGCTACGAGCCAAGGATCATTGATGAATTGATGGTTTTCATCGAGAAACCTCTCCGGCCTGAAAACCTCGGGATCTCCCCAGTGTTCTTCATCCTGGTGGACGCTCATCAAATTCGCCAAGATCATAGAATCTTTTCTAATGTTGAAGCCTTTCAGGTGAGTGTCCACAACAGCTCTATGTGGAATCGATGTCGGTCCGATATTTGCCAATCGTAAAACCTCCGCGAGTGTTGCATTCATATATGGCAATCTGAAATCGCAATTACCTCCGTTAGCGATGTTTCGAAATTGAATTCTACCAAATTCTGCGAATTTCTCTTTAATACTTCTGGAGGCATTAGAAAGGATTGGAAAATGTCTCACGAAGGTCGAGTCGCCGCCGAAGGCAAAGTCTCTTTTCCTAATACTCTGTCTAATTCTTCCTGCACTTTATATTGCACTTCCGGTGTAATTGCCAAGTAGGCAATGGTGAATCCGATGCTATTGGTCGTTGTGTCGACCCCTGCACTGAAGAAGTCTTTTATGAGGGCAACGAGTTGCATTTCTGAATCATAAAACAGAACATTCCTCATTTTTCTGTAATTCTCAGTAAAATTTTTATGGAAAAAATCATGAAATATTCAATGAAAATGTCTTTCAGATAAATGAAAATTCAGATGACTTTGTGATTGAAATTATAATAAACTTCTAAAAGGGGATGATGAAAAAATATCAGTATTACAACACCAGCTTCTAGAAATTTACCATTGAAGGTTGAAGTCGGATCACCATCCCTCGCCTCGATCTCCTCCAGATACACATCAATCAAATCTCTGTGTACCCCAGACTGACGCGTGTCTTTGTGTGATGTTACCTCATCCTTAAAAAATGCCATCTTTTAACTATTGAATGATGGAAGTTAGATATTTCGGAAATTTCTTTGAAATTCTCTTACGGCGAAGAATGACCACATACGGCACAGCCTCTCTGTAACAGCTTTGTAACCCGAGAACTGGGGTGCTAGGTACCTGAGAAATGGTAGATGATTCAGCAAACCTCCAGAGACGCTCGATTCCTTCACAGCCGCACTCAACATCTTCAGGGTTTCTACCAATTTCGGGTCGCCTTTTGATATATCATACCTTCAGTGCAATTACAAAATTCATTCACGGTTTACAACATTAATTAAATATGAATTAGTTCATCAAAGTTTCTGACATTTTAAAATAATTATATGTTTTACCTGAAGCCTCCAATTAAAGACCAGATACTATTAAGAACCGCTAAAGAGGTGAATTGACTCATATTTTTGATGACCCCATCATTTGCGGCTTTACCGATGACTTTAATGAGATTTACTGCATCGTCCAAGATGAGTTCCTCCATCGTTTGAGTGCCCCAGCCGAAATCTCTCAGATTCTTCAAGGAGAATCTAAAAATAATAATTTTTCATGACAGTTTCTGTTGGGATTATGCTGAGATATTTTTATTTTCCCGACCTCCGCTGATCACTCCAAATTTTTCCATCGGTGAAGAGAACCCCACGTCTCTCCCCCATTGTCCTGTGGGAAAATATGAAGCCATTTGGTCTTCCATCGAACTCCTGTCGTCCTAGCATCTCCATAACGGCCTCACGACCGGAAACGATGATCAGGGGATCCGCCAGACCCAGACGTAGGCCCACCACTGGCCCATACTCCTTCGCCAACTGACACCACGCGATTCCATGGGAACCAGTCTGTTTTACTAAATTCCTTACGTCCAGAATATTTCCGACGAATGGTAATCCACGAGGTCCTAAAATATTTCTCAATTGGATTTTTTTACACACAGAGTAATATTCAATAAAAATCGCGTATCCGTATTCCGTCATTTTGATGGAACTATTCCAAATTTTTTTTCGGAGCATTCCATAATTTTTGTCTGAATTCTAAGTGAAAAATTACGGAATATTATTTTTTTTAGTCACTTCTGTAATCGGTGAACTGAAATTCCGACATTTTTATTGAATATTTATCTCTGTCTACGACTTAATTGATATAACCCATTATTTATTCATTTATCTCCATTTACAACAATCAAAAAATGTAGCACCGAATTTATCACTACTGAAAATGTTATTGTTTACAATTGTATAATTATTGAATACCTGGGGGAAAGCTTCTGGGCCGGTGCCAATCGACTAATATTTTTACCACACAGATGATAAAAATCGACGAAATGAGCCACATGATATTAAATGACTCTTCCACGATTATTCAAATTGTAATGGAGTAAATAATGAAGAACTTGAAGAGTTTATCCCCCAAGGAGACGGAAGTCGAATTTTTCGCACAATCTCAACAATTTTTCTGGTCCCGGTTTTTTCACGGAGCCGGTCACAACGAAACTGTCTCCCAGAAAAATTCAGCATCAGCAAGAACTTCATAAAAGAATGAATTCCTTTCACCCGGGATATTGGCAACGAGTTTGCGCTATCACAGCTAACAGCCTTCCAAGATTCGCTGTGTGTGTATACCCAGTATTATTCCTGTATATTAATTGCTGCATACTATGTATAATGATCGATATATTTGAGCAATGATCGAGATTCAGCTGCACCACCCGGTTTTCGCATGAAAGGCATCAAGAGAACGCCTTCGAAATCCGGTACGGGGAATGAATTTTGATACGGGTTAATGACACACGATTAAGTATCCAAACATTAAAACATCCTTAATCGAACAGCACTGAAAAATTATCAATTCATTATTTGGAGACTGCAATTTTAAGGACAGGCTACTAATTTTTTCATTAAATTTAGGGAGAAAATAATCGTGGAATTTCGCGGTTCATTGAATATTGATACTGAACTGTCAGTTGAAAATGAGAGAAGATATTCAGATGAAGTATTATGGTCTCTATTCATTCTCAGGGAGCAATTGATAATTTTTTTAAATTTCAATTGTGAACAGAATGATTTCGCGCGTTAGATCTTAAGTGTTTGGTGTAAATCAAAATGAAATCGTATGAAATTGTATACCAGTAAGTTTCACTACAAATTTTTCAGCGTGAAGTCTTCTGATTCACAAGCGTAGGTTTAATTGCATATGAAATGGCAAATGGTGGGGACGAGAATTATCAAGGTCCACAAAAGAGAGTTCGACATTCAGCTTCTCGTGATTCTGCACTGTACCAACGTGCGAGACGCGCTTTCACGCAGTTCTCGTCGTTTGGAGGCTGCGAGAGAATAAAAAAAAAAACGAGAGTTCAGGCTGAGATAATTGGACACGAGGAGTGAAGAACAGAGAAATTTTGTAAAGCGAGTGAAGATTCACGGGAAACATACGCCGGGGATTTCTTTCGCGAGAAATGTCGTCTGCAATTCTTTTAATTAGTGTGGTAAGCCGCAATTTTATTTTCGTTCGGGAATTCTTTGCTCCACATTTTTCATGACCCACTGGCATTGAAAAAATGGAACCTCAATGAAATTAAATAAAGAAAATATAAATATAAGTCACTGATACATATGAATGGAAATTTAATCGATTCAATAAAAAAAAATTGTCGAAATTTTTTTTATCAATTGTTCAAATTGAATTGATTAAATTTGTCGGTTAACGCAGTTTATCTTTCACATGAAAATATAATATTACTTTTCTCAATCTAATACTTGAAGAAACAATCGATCGGCTATAAAAAAATCTAGTGGTATTGAAATAAAATTTCGGACGATTCATGTGAACAAAATATTTATAACATCACGAAAGCTATCGCGAATCGCGTAATAAAATATTAAATTCTGAGTGGATTGAATGGTTCGAGATTATCTCATAAATTAAAAAATGATTAAAACGCAGTCATAAAACCGTCTGAGAAATCATTAATTTCGGTTCCGCAATGTGTCATTCTTTTTATTCTTGAATTACCGTATTTCATTCCTCTTATCGAATAATTAAATTGCACGGTGGCTGTTATCAGAATTACGATGATTACCCCGGACATCATTATTTTTTTTCGAATCTCCATATCGGTAGTTCATGGTTTCATATTTATGGTCTTCTTGGGTGCAATTGCATCGTGAACGCGTGCGGTCTTCAATTTTCGATTGATCGTAACCAGAAACGAGATACCGAGGGCGTGTGTCCCTGCCAAAAGCTTTTGCAATCACGTAGGGGCCATAATTTGAGAGGGCAAAAGGAGGAGAGAATAATGGCGATTAATTTCAGTTCTCCTTTTTTTTTATTCTGTAGGTCTGTTGCGGATTCCTCCACGCGATTCCCTATCACGGGAAGAGGTCGATTGAGGTACAGAAAATACTTCAAACATCAAATTGATCGATTTATTTTAAATCTCGAGTTCCTTCCTCGTCAATATTTTTATTAATAATGTTTGTGCTTGTCCTTTAATTTTGATTTACTTTCTGCAGATATCGCCACTTCACCATTGCCATCACGTAATTAATTCTGTTATTTTTTTATTTGATTATTCATATACATGCTGTGTTATATGTTTCGATTTATTCAAGATTATCTAAGAATTTTCAGGCTTTTCTTATCGCACAGAATTTATATTCTTTGGGTAAGAGTACTGGGTAATTGTTTGAGCTTTTCGGTATTTTCATTTGACTTTGCAATTTATTTTTTTTACATTTTACATTTTGAAAATAATTTTGGATATTATTTTTGAAATATCAGACGGATAATTATGATTATGAGGACTCGGACGAAAATGAGAGCTACGACCAGCCATCGATGCCGGGACATCGAGGTATGGGTGATGATGACATGGCTATGGCTTTCTTTGAAGATACCGTTGAAAAGTACGAGGCAAAAAATGGCAATACTTCCCAGAACCACCAATTCTCCCGCAGATCCAACCAGGGAAACCTCGAGGATGCCGAAATGACGATTAATGAAGGGCTACCTCTCCTTGCCGGTTATTCTGCTGAAAATCGCGAGGATAATGATCTCTCAGGATCTCTGAAAAAATCCTCAGAAGTGGCAGAACTTCGAAGAGCAACAGTGGAACCTGAAGGAATATCGGAAGGACCTGTTAAAGTGTTGACTAAAGCTCTCAAACTCCCAGATCCTGCAAATTTATCAACCGAAAATTTAAAAATAAAAGCGGAGATTTTAGCAGCAACAGTAGATCCTCTGAAAATCATATCAGAATTTCGAGAAAGAATAGCAGCACCTTCAAAATCGACAGAGTCTACTACGCTAACCGCGGATCCTCTAACTGAATCATCTGAATCTCCATCCGATCCGGTTAACAAAGTAACACCAGTACTTTGGGAAAAGTCTCTTGAAGCGTCAGAAGAAGAATTCCAAGTCGCTAACGTCCGCTCAAAGGAGCCATTCTACAGCTTGAGCCTTTCATCAAACTCTTCAGTGCAGCCAAAATACACTGCGTCTGTACGCTCCAAAAACAATCTAACTCTCTGTTGGATCGAGACCATCACGATAAAAGAAGACAACGCGACTAGCCCGGCGATGAGACTAGTCCTTCGAGAGTACACAATCACCTTGGAAAATTCTGTGTCAATCCCTGAAGACCTGTTGGAATACTCTAGACTCGAGGGAGAGGTCCACCCAGTCACTAAAGAAAAAGCGATGAACACGCCCTTCCAGGAGTTCTTCAGCAACGAAACTCAAAGAAGTCAAGTTACAAAGCTGAAGAAAATTACTCAGGAGGGGAATTTCATGGTAACCGAAGAGAAGACAATGAGGTGTGGTACCGGATCGTTTATCACAAAAAATATCTATGAGAGGTTGGATGCGTCGAATAAACCAGTGAAGCGAGTGGAGATTAAGGTTGGACCTGTCCTGAAAAGTATCAAAGACGACGTTGAAGGAACGAAGACACCTACGGAATTTCAGGAAGCTCCCACTTCGGAGCAATTTGCAGACGGACTCGTGAGATTGGGGGATGACCTATTGTCTTGTCAACCAGGAGATAAAGATTGCGTCAAATCAATGGTTGATCCAGATTCTAGAGCGCTAGATCAAAACCCATCGGCGATATCGGTCGTGCCTGAGGGTCTCATTTGCGATGCCTCCACCGGGACTTGCACAAGTACAGAGTTTACGGAAAGAATAACTGTTACTCCTTTCGACAGGTCAGAAACTGTTTCCGAGGTGACGACACAGAGAGAACCAGCGAACGAACTTGGGATTGGAATAATCGAAGGGACAAAACGAGAAGAGACTGTGGGATTATTGAAGGAAGCGGAGGAAGAGGATGCCTCAACCACTTTGCTGAGACGCGCTGACCTTCGTAAGTCTCGTTACGTTCTGAAGTTGCAAGTCGTGGTGGAGAGAATCGACGAGAATGACAACAGAGAGACGGTGATCAATCTGAAAAAGGAAGTGCCCTTGAATCATATGAACGAAACGTACATGGAGCAGTTGGATGCCCTCAATGATACTGTCAACGATATCGATGTCGTCAGGGACTTGCTGAAAGACTCTGCCTTCGAAGGCATTTCTCCAGTAGTGTGGGAGTCCTTTAGATCTTCTACTGGAGCATCAGTCCATGGAATGACTCGTCCAAGGAGAAGCTTACCTGTCGATCTTCAAGATGCTGCAGTCAAGAATGAAATTGTGGAAGAATGCCTACCGGATATTAGTGCAGACATTTCAAGGGGCCTGACTGAAATTAAGTCACAAATTTCAGAAGCTGATAATGGAGATCTTCTTTCGAACGAAGATTTGTCGGTGAAGGCGGATTTCGAGAGAAAGGAGTTTCCGCGGCCCAGAACAAATGCAGATGTTGAAGATGTTCAAGTCGTTAGTCGGTGGTCACGCGAGAGATCTAAGCAGGCTTTTGACGGAGGAGACATCCGAAGCTTTACGGAATTACTTATACTCGAGAATTCTGAAGTTGTTTAGATTGTTGGATCAATAGATTAGGGATGATGTTCATTGGTCTATTCTATTTCGCAATGGACTGAAGGTGTTCGGGAAATATAGCAATAATAAAAACAAGATTAACACGAAAACGATCGATATCATGGAGTACATAGTGAAAAAAGAAAATAAGAGGGAATATTATAATTGGAAAATCGAGTCTACTTTCTTGTCGCTGCTATTGGGCACGTATATGTAGCGGGTCTAACACATGTTGCTACAAGAGGTTTGAAAAGGTAATCCCTTGGGCAGATGAAGGGATAAGCGATGTACGCTGTTCTGTCGCTGTTCGGAATGCAGAAGACATATCTTTGACATGTACTGTCTGTTGTATTCGCGGAACGACCTGGTCCGAGACAAAAGGACGGAGGTGTTGTTGTGGCCTTAGTTGTTCTTGTGGTTGTGCTTGTTGTTGCTGCGATTGTTGTTATCTGGGAAGCTATTGAGCTTGGTGGTAGTGTTATTATTGGCGTAATTGGACATGTGTATGTATCGGGTTTTACACATGTTGCTGCGAGAGGTTTGAAGAGGTAATCCCTTGGGCAGGTGAAGGGGTAAGCGATGTAGGCTGTTCTGTTGTTGTTGAGACTGCAGAAGACGTACCGTCGGCACGTGGTGTCCGTCGTATTTGCGTAGCGACCAGGTCCAGGGCACAGAGATGAAAACGCTTTTGCAGTCGTTGTTGTTAATCGGGTTGTTGTTACTGGAGTTGTTACGGTGGTTGATTCCGTTGTTGTTGTTGTCGGTATTGCTGATGGTAGTGTTTCTTCAGTTGGTACTGTTTCTACAGTTGTTGGTGGTTCCACAGTTGTCGGCGGTTCCGTAATTGCGATTGCTGACGTTGTTGTTGCTGCAGTTATTGTCGACGATTCGGTGGTTATTATTCCTATCGGGCAAAAATAATTAGAGGATAATTAGTCGGTTTTTGAGATTATTTGGGAAAAGTTTAAGAACAACTCATGTGTAAATCGTAAAGTGGTTCGTAACGGGACACAGTACTCGAAGTTGTTGTACTTGAATTGGGATCCACATCTTGTCCGCTCGTAACTTCCAACTGAATAAGTAAAACGAAAATGACGAGAGAAACCGACGAACAAGGACCAGACGTTTTCATTTTGCAGCGCTTCGTCACCTTTTATTACGTCTCCACACAATAAAATCTGTGCCACTGGATTTATGCAAAGTGATGTTACCCACGTATATTTGAAAAGATTTGCGGAATGACACATTTACAAGCCTCAGCATAAACCGAATCAATTTCACTTCACCATGAACGCAGCCTTGTAATTCCATCTTCATAAATCCACTCATAAATTCATCGTCTATACCCCGCTGTCTGATTCGTCGGAGAACTCATTGTTTCCCAGCCTGAATTTTCCTTTCTTAGAACTGGGGACAATAATCCCAATACAACAAATTCCTAAATAAGTTATGATCCATTACTCTCAATAAATTTTCCGAAATTGATACTTTCTTTGGAATAAAACCGGGAATTATGATAGTGGGTAGTACAAAATTTATAGCCGCATGACCTTATCAGTGAGTTGAAACGTAAACACAGTTTTATCGATGCAGCTCTCTTCTCACGCTTGCATCCAATCCTCAATGAAGATATCTCTTGAAAAAGGCCGGAGTTAATCGACTAGTCTTAAAATTCCATGTAAGTAAATTCCGCAACAAATTGGAATTTTCCCCGGCTACAGTCCCACACTCGAATAAAAAATATCTTTTGTTTCCCGATCCAATCTAGATCCATCGCTCTGTTATTATTTATTTATTTATTACCTCAATTATTAGAAATTATTTTTCGACATTAAAGAGTTATTGCCGGGATCTTCTCATATTTCATGTTTTTCATTAATTTCTGGAAAACTTTCGATCAAATCGACGTAAAAAATATACCCTTTTACATTTTCTCATGATTCAATAACTCATAAATTTTCGTAATCATGCGTCTATTGTCTAAATTTTTGGTAAAATTATGTGAATTGTTGCAAAAGTTGACTGAGAACATAGGAAAATTGAATGATAATAAAACATAGAGACGGAATATTTTTTGACATCAGTTTTTTCATCCGTTCTTCAGAAATTTGGAAAAAAAATGAAAAATGAAGATATAGAGAATATAATTCTTTAAAAGTTGTTTCTATGTCCGCAGTTGTCTTGTATGAAGTGAAAATAACAATCACATACGTTGTAATTTAAAATGAATAATTTTCTATGAGCCTTGATGAAAATAGATTTTTCTCTGAGTGCAGTTTAGTATATCCTGTGGAATATCGAACATCAAACAGAGAAGACATCACGCACGGCCGTTAAACCCAGTTATATGGACTTTCACGTCGCTTTCTGCAAGGCCGTTTTGTATTCCATGGATTCACCCTCGGTTTCCTTGTATTTTCCCCCCCAGAATTATGTATAGAACACATGAGAATCATTGAAAGGACGCACGAGAGACTGTCTCTCAATTCTCTAAATTGAAACGATGCAGTGCCAGTCTTCACTGCTAAATTATGGGAGTTTCACGACACTGCGGCTATGCATCCCGATTTTAAATAAAAAAAGTTTCCTCGGACTCATTGCAACATCACCTGTAATGCAAAGAATTCCATTGATATTCAATTGACGAGTGCGAAATTCTGCGGCGACAGCTGGAAAATTTACGAGGGATTCATTGTTATTTTATCTCTTCGATTTTTTAGTCCTCAAATCCCTGAGCTTTCCTTTGTTCGGACGAGTTTGGATGATTCCTCAGAATATTTTTCAACCCACAACATGGGAAATCACGATTAGAGGGTGGACCCTTTATGGGATTCACAAAAGCCACAGGTATTCTCTATTTCTTGGAAAAGCGCAGAATCATTCGTCAGTGTCAAAAAGAAACGATGAATGCGTTAATCAATCAATATAATTCAAATTTTTCGGTTTCTAAAAAAAATACCAGCTTAAAAAAATTCAATCGCTTACTTTCAGGAAAGCAATATATTAATTCCAAATATTAAATTATCTTTTTATTGTTACCTGAAACACGATGGGGAATAGCCCACATAATTTAATTTAATTAACAAGCAATTTCTCAAAAATCGTCATGCGATAGTTCTGCAAGAGATAATTCATGAGAATATTGGAACATTCGTGGAGTAGATAAATAAAGCAATGACGATTTGGATCTAAAATTGAAAGTGTAGATGTTCTTTCGTATCTCGAGAGCCATCTCTCCTGCAGGTAATCGTTAGGTTGGCAGGTAGTCCTATTGTTCTCGACCGAAAAAAAAAATCGGACCCATCTCTTCAGGTAATCCGAAAAAATCTCACCCACACAATTACTCACCTCCATTTGAGAGGCTTGTAGGATGTATGCGAAGTGGAAAGGCCGTCCTCAACAACTCTGGTGGGTCCCAGGAGGTGGATGTAACCATGAGGTCTTGTGGATATAAGTCACCAGTGCCTTCCGTTCGCCAATGGACTCTCTCTTTGACCCTGGTGAAGTGCACATCGTCTCTTCCGTGTTTCTCGTTAATAAAAGTGATCGATAAATTGTGTTGACGATTGTTGTGTGATCGATATGGGCTCATGCTTCTTGGAGGAATAAATTTTTATTTAGTTTGTAGAGTTCTTTTGATCAGTGACCTGTTGTCATTTTTATTGACGCTGGGATTTATTCTCGCGTATTCCGAACATTGATTTTGTGTGCGAAGTTGTGATGCTACTTGGGAGAAATTGTTGAGAGATGTACCCTCGATTTGTAAGTAATTTTTCAAAATGACAATGTGTCGGATTTGTGTTGCCCGGTTTTTTTTATTCAGGGGTGATGGATTGCTTTGCGTGAAGATGAGTGAGATCCGAAATTTATTGACAGTCAATAATAATAATAATCTCTTGATGTTAAATTGATCAGAATCATCTGTAAATCCGAAGTTTTGGCGGATTCATCAACCTACAAGATCTTCAATAAATTAACAACTCGTATCGATTAATTCCTATCATCAATTTCCTTCAGTAACTAATCAATCGTAGCCACAGGCCAAAATACTGCAATCATCTCAACACTTTACATAACATTAAATCATCCCAACGAAGTTGAAAGACATGTGGCTTTTAAATTCACGGTCAAGTGCACCGGGAAAGGAGTCTGCGGTTTAATCGATTAATTAAGGAAACTCGATTCTCGTCTGCGGTCGAGCTAGTTTGTCAGCATTAATAACGAGATTGAACTTCCAGCTGAGGTGTACCTTGAAAAATGATACTCATGACGACAACTCCATTCAATTATTGAATTTCAAGTAATTTTTTGCGACCCGGTCACTATTTTTTTTGTGTCCAGTAAATGGGTGAGTGAGAATATGACTTCTACGATTTTTATAGGCGAAACTCATTCTTTTCGAGAATAAGAAAAACTTGAAAACGTTTAAGAATACATGCATAGTTTTACGACTATGTCCATCGAGTTTCTAATACGTGAGCTAGTGATTTGTTCAGTGCTTTCCATGTATACATATTTTGTCGTTAGATCACTGAAGACTTGACACTTTTCAAAGAAATGATATGAGGGCGTAATGATATGAGAGTTTCTTGGGAGGGACTGAGAGTTCTGTTGAGCAGGCAAAGCATCGAGACATTTTTACGGCTTGTAATTACAAAAGTCATTAACCATAATTTAACTTCACTCTAAAAGGCTATTGATGCTATGTTTTTTGTGTATCCACCGTTTTTCTGATATTCGGTTACAAATAAAATAAGAATTATCTTTAAAAGACGATAAAAGTTCCGATAATTTCTATAAATCTTTATAAGGAATAACAGGCAAATAAAATTGGCGTGATATTCCTATATAAGTGTCCAAAATTTGTGCGATTTTTCATTAACCCATTTAACTGCTGAGTCCGTTCTACTCAGATGTCTCGGATTGCTCGTATTTTTAGCTCGTCATCAGGTGTTTTAATTTCTCGAGATGAGTCCTTTCATTTTTTATTGTCGGCCTGAATCGTGAACCTTAAAATTAAAAACCAATTTTCTTCCATCTGTGGGAATGAATGGAGTTTCTCTTATTTACTCACTTCGCACCCTCTCGATTACGATTTTCTCACTGGCTTGAGTGTCTATTGTCCTGTTCTAGGATGTCAGGCATTGTAATTTGGGTTTTGAGCCGTTAGATGACCTGTTAAAGTTCATGGGCTCAAAGATTATCGAGGGAAAGGGGATGGGTTTGAGAAGCTGATGCCAATGGCAACTCGGACTACTCAGGATTTCCCAGGACTGTCCGGGAGCAAAGAGTCCAGTCATGCGTTAATTATTTCCACAATTATCCGGAGAATTTGAGATTACCGAGATTCGTCTGCTCATCTACTTCCTGGTGGATACGTTCAGTCTTCTCCTGGATTCAATTAGAAGAAAGTGAAGGTTGATGAATAATAGATCGAACTAATATGGAATTATGGATCAATCATATGGGATTAAAATCAGCACACAATGCTGTCCCACCCGGCTTTCCAGATCTTCCTGGAGAAATCAACGAGTCATATCCCCGAGTTGCCCACGATTTCCAGTCATTCTGATATTGGAAAATAATCATATACCGGCACTGGGAAGTACGCCAACGGTTCCACGAGATTACTTTTTATTTTCTTAAAGGAGATAACCAAAGACTGTACTTGTCTCGGTGAAATTTCGCGTTCTTTCGATAGATATCATCGAGAGTGGTTTAGCCAGTTTGTCCATAAGTAGATCTTGATAAATTGAACGAGAAAAACAGAACACCGGAAAATTATTGCACGATCATGACATTTTGGGAGTAATTAAATAAAGATAAAATGTGAAAATGGTATATTTTTTTATGTCAATCCGATCAACAATTTGTCAGAACTAATTTTGGCTGAAAGGGGGTAGAAAATCGTTATTATAAAAATTGAATTATTCTTGTAATAGTGCAGAGGGATTCGACGAAAGAATAATTGATAGATTTAAGATAGGATTTGATAGGAATCTTTACAGAGTATACAAAAAACGTTTACTAGCGTACGTGCCAGAAATGATGCAGCATCTTCCGGAGGATCCTGGGTCGGAAGAGTACACGGTACTTGAACTGGTAATCCCCACAGCCCACTTACCTACATTAACCGAGTCTTACAGTTGTGCTGGAGGACTCCTGTGTGTCTTGCTGCATTCCCTCCACTACTTTGCTCCTCTCGTACTCCATTGTCCATATTTGCCACAAATTGCAGCTACGTTTCGCTCAACCGTTGAAGACAACTCAACACATCCACTCATTCGACTAGTGATGAGTGACCGTTTATGTCATTAACCCAAAACCATAACCATTTTAATGTTCGTTATCTTCATTTCTTTCATTTCGTTTTGCTCCACAGCAGCTCCTCAATTTAGGATATTCCTCTTCCTATGCATCAGCAACATTCAATTGCGCTAAAAATCAACTCAATTCCATTTTTGATTTTCAATTAATTTTTTGAATATTGTAATGGAATATTTCCGCTCGGACACGAAAAACCGTGAAAATATTGAGAATTAAAATAATTGGAAATTCAATTAAATCTGATATTGATTCTTCATGATAAGCCTTAAAAGCCAAGATTTTTTGAAAAAATCGTGTATTATTTATTTATTACATGAGAATTCTAATGTCCTTGAATTTTCAAGATGAAGGAGAAATTTAATGACAGTTTTTAATTAAAATTTGATTGAAGCTCATATAGTTGAATATGCAGGTAAGGCGAATGGTTTCTCCTGTTTTTTTGAAAATCAAAATTTCTCTATTGCTACCGTACAAATTGAGAATTATACTGCAGCAGGTACTTAGGTCTGAAGATTCGCAAAAAGTCTGCGAAAACCTCATTTCCACTTAACAAAAAGTTATGTTACAACGATAAAACCAAGGAATTGCGACGAAAGAACGATTCAAATAGGCGATTTCATGCAGTAATGTCCCTAATAAATTCATAAACCCCATGAGCCATGCCGCCACATATATAATATTGCGGCCATAGAAGTAAGCAGAGCACTTCTGCACCGAATGCAATTGAAAAAAAAACCGATAAAAACGAATATAAAAGTCAGTGAAGGACGTTACGAGCAATTACAAGTCCACCCACAAATTTTAAGATGCAACTAGTTGGAATTTTTTTCTCCTTACGAATTCTCTTGTTCAATCGCAAATAATAATGCAAGTAGAGAAAATTATTGGTGGATACGAAAGGAAGAAAAAGGGGTCGGAAAAATATATCGTGAGATTATCGTGGATTTATTCGTAATGAACGGAAATACATAGGTGAATGCCAGTTCCCTCTTCTCTTCACTTTCTTACGCCTTAGACTCGTGTCTTCCGGCACTTTTATGCGAATATAGATACTCTCGCTGAAAACCCGACAACGGGACCTTCAGTCTGGAAAGACTTGTAATTTTCAGGTACTTGTTCCCATTTTTCGGAGTACTTGAATTTGATTTACCTTTTTTCAAGATATTTTACAAATTTCCACAAGTTTCCTACAGTTTTTTTTAAACTTTTGAGAGTTTTCCGAAATATCGGATAATTTCTTGTTCAGTCTTTTTGCAGGTCCCGACCTAAACTAGAAAAACCATTCTTCTGGTAAATTATACTCCCGACATATGTGGATTTTTTCGTCAGTAGTGAATGCACTTAGCAAAAGTAATTACTCTTCTCGGTGCACTTCTCCAATATAGATTTCTATTTTGCCATAAATGGCATGTTTTGTATTTTTCTTGCAATAAATCACGTTAAAAATTGAAAAAATAAATGACTATTGTTCCAGAAAATAAAATAATGCGGAAATCACAAAAAAATTTGATGAAGGAACTGAATTAAAGAAGGGAAAGAGAAAGGTGTAGTTCCCTATGATTACTCCGAAATTTCTGGTTAATGTCACAAAAAAATGATTGCACTCATATTTGAACACAAAGCCACAGGCAAAACGTAAGTTTGCCTACGGGGGATAGTTTCTCAGACCAACGAAATGATTCTCACGATTCGACCCACTTCCTCATCCTAGTAAACCTTCCCATTACCCTTCTCATGCCATTGACTAGACTCTTGTCTACTATCGTGACTACTCGAGTGTCTCCTTTTATTATTCACCCATTACTCATGCTGTTTATACACATACTCAACAACTTTTATTTGTGGTTTTCGCATTGATGAAATAACTGAGGTGACAGTGTTTTCTGTTTAGTCATCCTCGTACAATTCGAATGCATACAAAAATAAAAACAAAATACTTCTTGTCAATTGAGTTACTGCTGCAAGTAAATTAAAATAAAAATATTAATTTTTAAATATAAATTCTTTGGAATTTTAATCACAGTCATCTGAATTTTCAAAAATTGGTTTTTCCATGTTAAATAATCATTGATTTTTCAATAAAAATTCTAATTTCCATCAAATTCAATCAAGGTTTCGGTAGATTGATACAAACAATGGCTGTTGAAAAATAAACTGCGGAAACGTGCACAAATGAAAATGGAAATATTTTATAATGTCCACGGAGAAAGATTTTCGAGAAAAATTCCAGTACAGCACTAGAAAAGAGGCGCAAATTGACGGCCAGAGATAAATTATAATGCTAGCAGTGCAATTTCTGTAGTATTTCCGTGGAAAGTTCATATAAATATAGAAAAAATTCACGTGGAGGACTAGAATTTTTCTCTCCGTCATTTTGAACCCCTTTTCTACTGCTGCACTAGAATTCAAAAGCCAAGTGGTAAAGTGACACATGTCAAATCAACTATTTTTCTTTACTAACAATTCATCTATTTCTAATATCAAATAAACATTATTCCGCACATCTCATTATTGATTAGTCGAGCCATACAAAGAAGCAAAAATTTATTCACGCTGATCAGATTTGGTTGAGGCAATTAAATACAGAACATTCATCTACAAACTCTCCGTTTGATTTCTTGTCTGGAACAAATTTGGTTGGTATATATTTATAGTCCTCTGGATGAGTAGAGAATATGCAAGAAATCTAATGGAGTTAATGGATTGAAGATAATTGTCTATCAAATTTCCACTTTAATGCGGAAGGATTTCCACGGGGAATCCCGTGGACTTAGTATGAGGTACTTCATTAGCGAAAAGAATACGTGCTTTATAGTACTTTTATTACGAGGGTTTTCGCACGCACTTATGCACCATGAAGAGAAATCGTATCGCATTGTTTCTTTGGATCCGATTATTATCTATTTCCAAGCACGAGAGCAAGTTGGAAAACTCCCGGGAAACTACTGATTATTGATTGGACGATTATGTGCCGTCTCGTGTGATAAATACATGGGTCTGATGGGTTTTGTATTGTCGGGGTTAATCAGGTTGTTACGGATAAGTGGCCGGGAATTGGTTCATGAATATTTCTGTAATGAACTCTGAATAGCTCTGGGTGATTGCTTTAATTGTGAAAAAAAATCACAATTGCATGACATAATTGTTGAGAGAACGTAGAATACAGTAATATATATTAATTATAGACACAAATATCCGGGCATATAGTTGCCATATACATGGGATATTTCTGCAGCAAAAAACGCAGTATATAACGTATAATTATTAGCATATATATTTTTTCTGTGTGGGTAGATTCCGAGACATTTTCTAGTATCAATAAACAAACAATGGACGACCAAGAAAAGAGGTTTTTTGCTATTGAGTATATTGGGAAATATTGAGAAATTTTTTCTCGTTGTGAAGGCGAAGTCTAAGGAAGAGGTGACGAATTATTGATTTCTGAATATGATGAGGGAAAAAGAGTTTAATATTTCCTGTTTTGGATCGAGTATAATCGGTATTCATCGATGAATGGAACAAATCACTCATGCGCATTCGTTCCTTCAACAAAATCGAAAACTTTCGCGAAAACGCAGGCAAATTTTCTTGTGCGTGTCGATTAATAATCTGATACTTCCTGTCGTAAACATCAGCGAATAATTGCCCGGAGTCATCAATCTTCTCTACTTTCCGTTGTTTTCGCTTGAAAATTCTATAAAACGCACTGACTTAATGATTATAGTTTTATACAAATTAACTTGAAATTTATTGATTTCCCAATGCCTGAAAATTATGAGGTTTTGTTGATTTGTCTATAGAATTATTGTGACCTGGAGAATAATAAATTTTTAACAGTACGAATGGGAAAAAAAATTTCAGAGCCTGTCGTGCTTGATCCTGCTCGTATGTTTATCCTGCACAGCACTGGCTAGGAACAATGGACCACGACCTCCAGCACCTCGGCACCATCGCAGACGGGCTGCAGCCCTCAGCGAATTCCTCACACCTCCACCTCCACCACTCCAAAGAAATCGACCCCCCCAATTTCACCAGAATCCACCATTTCGGCAGGGAAAGATCCTGAACCCAACGCCACCACCTGCACCCCAATCCCCTGGATTTTTTGCGAGATTCATGGGTTGGTTCAACCCCTGGAGTGGAGGCCCACTCCCGCAGCATCCACCCAGCCCCCAGCTAAATCATCCTGTACTTCAGACACCAGTACAACACGAAACTTATGGACCTCCACAACTACCACAAGTTGAAACGTAAATATTTTCATCTATTTTTTATCCGAATAGGTAATTTTAATCGCATGATAGGAACTGTTTGTCATTCACGGAAAACTATTAAGGAGATTATGGAAATTTCACATTATACCTATGCTAATGATGATTAATCGAAATATTTCTTATAGAAACACTACTTTCTACGCGTGAATGAAATGAAATCCTCTCATCAATGCTATTAGATTCAAGTAGAAAGCATGTTAAGTCCTCGCAACAGCAGTATACTGGGAGAAAATATTTTACAAATCGACAGGATTATTCTTGATATAATCTTAGTATCGACCAATCGGTCTTGATCTTTTTAATCGTTGAATTCAGTGATTATTTTTTGTTAAATTGAAGAAAAGGAATTTTAAAATATGTAATTTTTTTACTAGAACAGAATGGTATTAATTCCCTGAATGATCTCTCCAATCTAGACGTCCTCAGCAGCACCAACGTGCCCCATCTCCGAAAGCAATCCACTCACAGCTTCCTGCACTGTCTGGCATAAACTGTCACCCCTGCGACACAGTTCCTTGGGTTCCCCTGATCGGCAGATACGCAGAAGGAGCCCCTACTATTCCCCTTGACGAGCCTCACCAAGATCTCTCGGTCCCCAACTTCTACCACGCGCCCTCGCACGAGGTGAAAATTCCAGATTTCGGATGGGAAAAACCGCCCGCGCCTCCTCAAGATCCACATTCTCAAAGTTCCAACATCTTCAACACAGACTTCCCGTCTCCCTTAACAGGACCTATTCCCAACCCTCACCTGTACCCAGGGGCGATGCCACCGCTGTTTAAAGCCGCTCATTGGGATTCGGCACCAGCATCGACAGATCACAACGATCAATTGAGGAGCAGTGGCTTTGGTGATCTGCCCACAGAAACCTCAAATCCTCAATTTAATTTACCATCGAATATTCCACCATCAGGATCCTCGCATACAGGTGGAGATTACGTGGATGTCCTTCCACCTGGTGCAGAAATTGCATCAGGCCCTGAACTTCTACCCCCAAGTCTACCAGATCGAAATCTCAACTCGAATTCCTTCAACCCTTCAGCGGAATCCACTCTCCACCCGAGTGGCTCGCACCAAGTGGCTTCTGTCTCCTTTGATACAGTGCTGGACAATCGTCAGCATCAAAATCCAGGGACAAGTGCCAATGAGAACAAGAAGACTGCCGTTAATCAGCCCACGGAGCTGGGAACCAAATTATCCTCCGATGGTCAACACATTATCCACATTCAGCAGTCTCCAGTGATTGATTTATCAGAGGACACCAGGAAACAAGACTGCAAGGACGGTAATTTCTCTCAAATCACTGAGGATGCTCCAGTGATTCTCCAGAATCCTGACGGCAGTTATGGAATAAATATGTCCTGGCCGAATGATAATTCGGGGTGGATCAGTTCTGTGAGCGATGGTGGAGACTCTGCAGCGGTTTCTTCAACAATTCAAATTGCTGAGGATCATCCCCAGGTGCAGAGGGGGCAAAATAATGAGCGAATTAGTGATTCGAAAGTGGAGGAGAAGTCTTTGCTATTGAATATATTGGGAAAGGCGGAGAATGACTCGAATTTCGGACAGAGAATTGTCGCGACGCAGCAGCCTCACGGGAATCATCAACGAGTGGTGCCTTTGGAGGACAGACAGAAAATAGAGACGAGCACAGCTGAGGAGTCTCTCTCTGGAGCCATCATCAAGTCTTACAATGAATTCCAGAAGGAAGTGCCGCCAGAGCAAAGCCAAGGGACGAGTAAACCTTGGATTGATCCCAAGGATATTCATCAGGGTGCTGGATTTTCAGCTTCCACTGGAACTGCCCGGAAGATGAGGGACGAGGACAATCATCAGCAAGGGGGAAGAAGGAATAAACAGGTGAAATACTTTTTTCATTAATATTATACAGCAAAGAAAAAATAAATAAATAAATAAATATGAATGGATCTGAAGTATTATATCTATTCTCTCTCAGGTGCAGCTAATAATCCCCTACACATCTCAGCACACACCAAGTCCTTTCCAAGACCCCGGAAGGATTCAATCTCGGAAGGTTCCACAATCGGCCGAAGTCACTGAAGAAGAGCGGATTCATATACTCCAGACTTTGGAGAGTCTTCCAAAATTGAAAAAACTCACGAGGCCCTTCTCTGCGAGTAAAATTAATACCTCGATTGATCCACTGAGGCTTCAGAAAAATATAGATAACTGGACCATTCAAGTGAGTCATCAAATGACCGATTTAAAAAAAAATCCCTCATTAAGGATAAGAAATGATAAGTCCTGAAACACTTCACTATTTTTCTCTTTCTCACAGATGAGATAATTATAATTACCCCGGAATTCAGTCTTCATTCGTAATTCACTTAATAACATCTATTAATCTAACGTGTGAGAATTAATTTTAACACGTGACATTGTATTACTATAATCACCCACACTAGGCGTTGAAGTGCGAAAAAAGGGGTCTTCAGATGTGGGACGGATATTTGCACAGAGTGACTCTTACCTATTGCCCATGACCCACGACAAAAGCGAGAAGTTTTCTCATCCGCTTTTCACCTTTTCGCTTCAGGAATACTCGAGGGGAACAACGGTGAGCACGGCTGTTCCCAGTTCTCCACATCGGCTTCAGCAGTCAAAAAAAATTCCTGATGAATACTTCACCACTACTGAACCCGTTGCGACCATCAGAGAGGCTGAGAAAGCCTTTGGAAATATTCTCGATGGATTCAACTTCAATGATCTAGACCATGAAGGCTCCGCGAGTAGCAGGGTGGAGGTTCCACATGTTCATGTGAGCAATTCGATAAATAAATTATAAATCTCACAAATTTCTGCAATCGATATTTTACCTGAATTTCAATTTTAACTGTCAAATATTTCGAAATTAATTTCACAATCTGCAGAAATTAAATGAATTAATTGCGAATGAAAATGTCTCCTCAGGTCTCATCATCGGAGAAAACGGAATCCTCGTCATCGGAGGCCCCAGGGAGTGCTCCATTGAGTTCCGAAGACCTCTCATGGGAGCAACTTCCGGTCTCAATTTCTCCAGTGAGTAACGAGCGTGTGTACATAGTGACCCCCCAGTCGGCGAAGAAACCATCGAAATCCAAAGCAGATCCATCAAAAGGGAAATCCCAAGATAAAGAAATCTCATCAGGACAGTTTGAATCGATCGAGAGGGCATACCAGGTTCTTCCAGAGGCAGTGAACAACTTGGCAGTGGCATCAACTGGGCCTGCGAATATTCCTCTCTGGGGAATAATGGAGCACAAGGATTATGCAGCTCCCAATGCCACTACCACTTCACCCAAAACGCCTGTCTTGTACTTGGGTCATTCAAAGGTAGAACACCTTTAAAAAATTTCCCTTTACTTTTCTGATTACCAATTACACTGATCACTTAACAATTCTCCAACTTATTTCTTTTCAGGTGTCACACACCAGACATTGATGTGTCCCAGTAAAAAAAAAGGAAAAATAAACAGTGTAAAGATCATTGTGCGCGAATTCAACAGACTGCTAAAATATTTATGAACAATTTTTTCTCTCGCGCCATGTGCATTTAGAACCCTGTAATAATGGAAATAATTATAGTTAAATCTAATTTTAGTATCCGAAAGCTCAACACGGTTAGATACAGAGTCAATAGAAACCTCTCCACCTCACAGCTCTAAAAAGACATATTTTCACAAATGATTTCATGACACATTTTCTATTGGCTCTGTAGATCAAACCATGGCCAGTGTGGTACATAAGTGCGGTCTGTTTGACTCATGTCTAGAATAAAGAATCAATCCATATTTTAACCCGGTGGTATTTCCTCGGTGGAATTTCTCCGAAAATGGGAAAGTGAACGTGAAATCGGTTTTAACCGAAGCCCATAAATGGCGGGTGTTTCGACGTTTGTTATAAATTCGTAATACGTGATGTGCGGTTATAATTTCCGTGCAAATGGCTCTCGCTGATTTCGCAAGTTTGGACGACGTCCAGACTGCATCGAAGGTGTCACGTATTGAATTCAATAAGGGAAATACGTGAATTGCCTATTTATGGGGCTGAGAATAAAGTAAAATGAATAAAATTGAACAGGTGAAAACGGGTAAGTGTCCTCTGACCTGGAGAAGTGAAAGGGGAGGCCATTTTGTCGGTTGCTCCAATTTTCAAAGTGCTCTATGAACTCAGCTGCACTTGAATGATCATTTAAATTTCATCGATGCAAAAGGCAGAAAGGAAAAATTAACGATAATGAGAGGAATTTCCTGATATTTTTGGGGTCGATGATGATCTTATGAAGAAATCTAAGAGCTCACTCCGTCTGACACAGAGGCGTGTGAAAATACTGAAAGCAGGAAGCATTCGGGAAAATGTATTCTATTGTTTGAGTTTTAACGATACCAACGATGATTATACGACAGTGACTCCATAACGAGATAACAACGGTTGAATAATTAGAGATCCATTTCAGGGGCAAGGAGACCAAACAAGGACGTGACCTTAATGAGGGAGTGACATTTACATGATAGGAGAAATTGTAACTGCATTGTGCATCACAGTAAATTCAAGTTTTATGTAAAAATAATATAATACATGACTATTATTTCTTCTTCCTCTTTACGCAGAGTTTATTTGCTGTTTTTCATTGAGAGGAGTTTAATACTTTGGGGGTGAGTATTTAAGTCACTCAGCAAGTGCTACTTCTTGATACTGCTCCTCAGGTTTTCGATGATTTCTGAAGAGACGGCCTAACAGCCATTCCAGGATCCACATTATTATTGTGAGCATTGTCATGCTGTTTATAAGGACTACACAGAGGTCGTAACTCCCTCGTAATTCACGGATGACACCTGCACAAATTGTGGACATAACAGTTTAGAGCATTGGAATTCTTCCGCGAAGTGACAAAATGCAGTGAGTTAATTCTTCAATGAGTTCTTTGCAAATGTTTACTAATTCCTGTAATTACTTCATTTCTGTTGAAAAATTAATTGAATGAAAATTAATTAATTGAAAACTCAAGCATTCATAATTGATTTGAATTGTGAAATAATTTCTCACACAAATAATGAATTGATATTTTCTCTTGGATTCTCTCAAATAAAATATAAATTCAGAGAGATATTGGAACTTTACCTATGAATGGTCCCAAAACCATAAGCACAAGTCCATTAACGACCATCTGAATTCCAGTGGCATCAGCCAGTCTCTCAATGGGAATATAACTTGGCACAATCAGAGACATAAAGACAGACCTGAACCCCTTGGCGAATCCAATACCAATGGCCATTATCATCATTGCTGTAAAACTACTTGCGTACACGAGAACTGAAATGAACGAAATCATGAATAGAAAGCGTACATGCACAATCGTAAAAAGACATCTGCATGGTTTTTCAAGGTCTATTACTTGATCTACTGGCGATGAGCATTGCTAGGCTGAGTAGGTACATCACCCTGGGTGTCTGGCGCACTCGCTCTCCCACAAATGGGGCTAGACCTCGCATCAAAAGGTCAACAGCTGCAGTGGTCGTCATTACTGCCGCTGTTTCGCTCGTTTCAAATTTTATGTCTTCCAGTATGAATGGTAGTAGAATGGCAAAATTTATCTCAGCGAATGTTGCTATTGACATGCCTAACATTATATTGACGTAGATGGGATCGCAGAGGAGACGTAGGTCGAAAAATTTTACTAGTCCAGTTAGACAAGCACAGCAACCATTATCACCCCTATTTTTTTTCGTCTTTGTGAAATGTCTGTCGAAATGAAGTGAAAAATGTCTCGTTGAACCATATCATGATAAAACTATCAAATGAATTGAATAGAAATTCACACATAAATTACTTTAATATAATTAAATAGGAGAGATTTGAATAAATTCATTAAATACAAGAATTTATGAAGATAATTTAATTAATATACTAATTAATATACTTTAGTACCTACACGGTATGTTGCTCCCCATTTTTGACAATCCCAGTTAACTCTGGCGAGACTTGAGAACTTAATTCTTTCAGTACGAGTTTATTATCATCATCCTTGTGATCCTCATCCATTCCGTTTAATTTTTTTTCAATTTTCTGGTATTCTTTCAGCGCGGTGGCTGTTGTTACCCGAGGAAACAGCGGTTCATCGACTAGCATGGGACAGCTACCGACATTCGGGGCATTGAGATTTTTTCCTGAATTCAATCAAATCAAACCATCAGGCTTTGATTAATTTAAATCCCCTGCCGATGCTCACCTGTGCTCCACCATTTGTGAGAATGATGTCTCGTTCTACTTTCCTCAGGCTGTGTACATCTGACATTCTGGACAGATTGAAACTGCCGAATACTGGATTTTCCATCACGCATAGATGGGACTGGCAATCATGGCTTTATTTATTTCATCATGTTAATTACCTCATAGAAACTCAAGAAATCAACGAGTTAATCGAATCGAAATAATTACCAGAGTCACGTCGCACGCTGATGATTTGAGTCTTTTTCGTCTCTTCTGTAATCTCCAGAGTCTGAAGATCGGAATTACGAGGATCTCCATTCAAACTTGATACAGAGATTGTTCTTTTCCGTTCGAACTTCTCAGTGACTATGGAGTCAGGCTTGAGATTTTCGATGGTTACAATTTGCCGTTCTTTATCTACACAAATAATACACTAAAATAGAGATCAACTGAATTCATACACAGATATAAATTATGCCCATTATGCCTTCTAAGTCGACTTTGATTCAATTGATTAAAGTTATTCGAGTGCTGCTCATTGACTTATCCATTAAATCATGTTTGTCCCAAAACCCAACCGTTCATGGTACTCGAATAAAAAAAAATAACTGCTAATAATTAATATATAATGAAACGAGCAAAAAAACCTTCATCTTTGGGTTCAAGAGCCACACGTTTCAAGTGCCATTTTATCGGCTGGAGCAATAGAGATGCCACAATCGTGTGGAGACCTATCGCCGCCAGAATAAATATCGCATGCTGAAATGAGAATATATAAATTACACCATGTGCCAGTGCGTTCTCTTATCATTATTTGTCTGGAATAAATCATCAAAATTGTATTCCTGCCATTGTGGTCTGTCTGCCTGTCCAATACACATGACTTCCAGACATTTAAAGAGTATTAAAGTAGCTAAACAAGCCCCATTTTGATAAGTGGTCGTGATCCGATTGGAGGATAATTAAACGAATATTACATGAGGTACAAAGACAAAATATTGAACGCGTGGAAATCGCGCGGAGGTTGTAGTAAAAAATGAATATCTCTTATCATAATGTAAATAAAAAGGCAGACTAAAGATTCGAAAGGAAGACAATTTTCTCTGTTATCACTGCAATTTACCTGAGCTGGATAATTATGCGATAAAATTGTAATGATTTGGGGCATTATTATAGGCCCCAGTCCAGTTATTGTCATAGCAACACCCATAGCACGACCTCTCCTCTCGAGGAAATAAGTGTTTATCGCCAGGGAAAATGCCGCCATCGTTAAGCTGATTCCAAAAGCTGAAGTAAATAAACTCATCATACACTGGAATTTTTCCATGGAGATAAATACCTACATGTTATGAATCCGTGAGAAACCATGAAGTGCGTGAATTTGTGGGATATTGAAGTCATCAAGAGACCGGAAACAAACATGATTGATCCAGAGAGTGCAATTTTTCTGTATCCAAACATTCGCAGGAGTGGGCCATGAGTTAAACCCATGAGCATCCCGAAAGACATATTTGTATTCATGATAATTGACGCATCGCGTTCTGGAAACTGCAAGTATTTGAAGAGATCTTTGAAGATCAGAGACATTCCGGTTATCAGTGGAACCATTACTAACTGCAAAAGAAGAAGATAAACAGCTTTGGTCAGTCATTTAATTAATCAATATACACATTGCCTCAAGGATTTTCATTTACAGTTACTCTCAAAGTGATTACTATTAATTCTTCCGCGCGATTTCATTATTATTCATTTTCTCGAGATATCTCCGAAAGGAACGGAACAATTTGCAGTGAATTAACAAATTGATCAAATAATTTTCACAAGAATTTTCATTATATATTTCATTTCATAGAGAATCTGAGGTATCTGATAAAAACTGGTAAAACCCAAATGCTTTTACAACTGTATCTTCTTGAACTTTAATCAGAACCGTTATCAGTATTTGCCAAATAAACCAACGATACAACGATAAAGTGAAATTGATCTCAAAGCGAATAAAAAATAGAACTTACATTATTTAATGCACATGCCAAAACCACCATCCACCCCCACCCACCATCAGGTGGAATGAATGTCTCACTTTCTCTCTCATTCCCATGACCTCTTCTTCCAGTCCTTTCTCCACGCATGTTAAAAGCAAAAATAGTGTGTTAAAATTTAAGAGAAACCGGTTCAACGCAGATTATTTAGATTCTTCATGAATTTTCCACCGATTGGATATTGTTGACCATTGAATACAATTTAATTCACTATAAAACACGACATTCTCCAAGTTAAGCACATCCGTTGAATGTGTGTCAAATGCACAGCGTGGAGTAACTGAAGCTCCCCACTATGGACTAATTGTCCAACACCGACTGTTTGCTTCAAGTCTTTCTTACGTAGCTCTCAGTCGCTCTTTCCGGCCAATAAAAGATTCTCGTTCGACAATGGAAGCCCACAGATCACCGGTGGCTCGTATGGAAACGGGCGATGACACAGTTGAGAAAGAGATAAAGTACCGCTACACAGAGATAAGCGACTTTTTTTTTATCTAATCAATGAAACTCTACTTTAAATCCTCGAGTTTTTGTCATCACAGTTCTGTAGTGATGAATTTATATTGAATATTCAGAGGTTTCGAAGTGACTCAACAGTTTCATTGTGAATTTCAATTTATTATCTAAAGAAATAATACATTTCAAGAACTTCATTGTTCTGCTGTTTACTTTTAGAATTCGTCGGGATGTCAAATTCGAAGGCTAATATCGTATTTTACAATCAGGTAATATTTTTTATTGTTTTTGTTAATAGAAAATTATAGGCGATTGAGCGCTAGGCTTGAGTGCTCGGTTGATCTTTGTTTTTCTTTGTTCTTCTTGACGTAATCCATGCTTCCAGGGTCCACGATATGATGACTAGGTATGGGAATATGTTCAAAATATGGAGGAGGATGGAGTAATTTCCAAGGAAAATTCTCAGTTTTCCTACTAGGGGACCAAAACCGATGGAAATTAGGCCACTTGTTACTAATTGCAATCCCGTTGCAGCTGGCAGCCGTGATAAGGGGACATGAGTGGGAATTACCAGAGCTATGAAGATTGTCCTTAAACTCTTTCCGAAGCCGATTAATACTGCCACCAGCAGTATTATTGTGTAGTCTATTGTGTGAGCCAGAACTGTAATCAATGCGAGAGTCGTAATTAACAATCTGCAGTAGTATGGGATTATTCTTGAAATTATTCTGTTGTTTTTTCATTTTTATAATGAATCAATGACGACAATCAGTAAAGCTTGGAATAATTCATAGCAAGCTATCCCCGCTTCAATCAAAACTAATAATTCTTTGAGCTTTCTTCGAAATCGTTTATTGCATTGAATTGTATCAATTTTCTCGAGGTTAATATAATTTTGGCAATTACTCACTTATCCTTCCTGATGACATGAACGTAACCCCAATGAGGAAAAACGTTCGATTACTGAACCCAATTTTTGTTGCTAGAAAAGATATGAAAATTCTAGCAACGACATCCACTCCTCCCAGGACCGACATAAACATGGCCACTTGATTGATCTCGAGGCCATAATCCCCGAGAATAAATGGAGTAATGAGTGCAAAATTGATCTCAGTAAAATTAGCAAAATTCAGTCCCAGCATCAAATTAACGTAAACCTTATCCCGCAGGAGGTCGAGGTCGAAGAAGATGACGATGGCATGAATGAATCGTTTGAATCGCGATGCTGGAGGTTCCTGAAACAGGAAATATCGTTTTTTCCCTGGAATTTTCATTGGCGACAATAAATGGTCTTTTCCAAACCGAGATCTCTCTTACCGGACTCTCTCACCTCCACAGTCTCTTCTCCCGTTTCCGTCGTGTCTTCCTGATATTTTGGACATTCATCAACTTTGCAATTGTCCTCATTGGAATTCGTAGATTCACAGGATTCCCTCACGATGATCAGTGGAGTAGTTCCAGATATCTGGTTCGACAGTTTTCTCCGTTTACCATCATTTTCACTCAAGCCCCTGACATTGATAAATAATTAACAACTATTTCCCAGGCTTAAGCAGTTGCTGTTGAGCATTGAGTATGACAACTAAATAACTTGACAAAAATGTATCGAAAAATGATTCACGTGCAATGATTTCCTTTGAAAGTTATCCCATTGAAATTATTTATGGTAAATTACGATCTTCGAGTCATTCTTGTTGGAAATATTTATCTGGAATTGTTCTTTTGACGTTTGCGTTATAAAGTTATTCAGTTCCGAAGTCTGAGTAATGATTTTGCAATGTATTTACTTGTTAATATTCCTGAGAGATTGTCCCTGGCTCAATGCTGTTATGCTTGGTGGTCTACTCAGACTGAATGACTTGTTTCGCAAACGGACTTGCGAATTTTCATGCTTCACAGTACGATTCGACGTGAGGGATACCGTTGATGAGTTCTTCTTAGAGAACCTGAGAGATTTGAGGAAAAATTATTTCAAGAGTTTCACCTCCCAATGGAAATTTCTTATCTCATGTGTGCGGGAGATGTAGTCATTTACCATCCATCATTCGCACGTGACATCATCGGCGTTCCACCTTCGACGTCAATACCAACAGCGCCTTCTTCTTCATCGTCGTAGTAAAGATACTGACTTCCAAATCCTTGACGATCGTCAGCTATAGTTGATAATTTTTCCTTAAGGTTCTCTACTGATAACGCTTTCAAGTCCTTACGTACTCCATTGTTTAACATTATGTCGTGCTTTTCCTGACGCATAAAGATCCAGAATTAATTGTATTTTTATTAATTTTACAAATGTTTATGTAAAGTGCTTCAGTGGAACATCCCCTGTAAATATTTTTAGCGAACATTTATTGAGTATTTGAGTGTTCAGATTAAAAAATGACATCCAATTGATTCATCAATTAATGATTAATTTTATACATATCCTCCCGGCAGTTGAGAGTTATCAATATAACAATTTTCACTACATTGAAAATTCGAATGTAACAGATAATTGCATTTTTAAAGATTACCAGCCGCGTGAAAGGTCTCACAAGTTATATCAGAGATAAACCAAAAAAAAAAAATCGCCGCCAATCGGCGAGACTTTTAATCACAGATAATTCGTTTCGTCTTCCTATCTTTTCCAATAGTGACTGGTAATTGGAAAAATCTAAATAAAACTCTGAAATTTGTTGATAATAATCCGGAACAGTAGAACTATCTCCACATCGAGATTATACGTAGGATATCTCTATTCAATCGAATGGGGCGAAAAAACTGAGCGAAATAAAACCAGAAGAATGAATACCACGACATACTTTAATTGCCTCAGCCCGGAGTTCATCCATAACACTAATTTTCTTGGCATGCCACGCAACTGGGTGAAGTAAAAGAGAACAGGCAATGGAGTGGGCTGAGAATCCACCCAAAATCAGAAGAGTCCCAGAAACATCGAATATCGGCATTAAAGCTGTAATTACCTAGAAAAAAAAAGAAACGATAATATCAGCACCAGTATCGATGATTCCTGTCATCGTTTGAACATCTGTGACTTTACATGAGGCATAATGATGGGTCCAAAACCAGTGCATGTCCAGCTGAGACCCACCGCCAGCCTCTTTCTCTTCTTGAAGTATGTATTTAGGGCCAGTGCATTCGATGACATTGTTATTCCGCCTCCAGCAGCTAGAGATTGTCATGCGATCAAACGAAAAAAAAAATCATAACGACTTATCATAATTCACGAATTAATCACAGCTCACCACAATTTTTCATTAAATTTTTCAATAATTATTCCCATTCGGATACCAGTTTCATGATCCGATAATCAATGATTCCGATGAATGCAGAATACAAAATTGAAGTTAGTCATTAGCAATTGACACTCCCATCTAGCTCTCACTTATCACAAATTCGACATTGAATAGCCACGAGTTATCCTTGAGACACCACTACAATTTTAATGATCAATATCAATCTATAGTAGTTGATAATATATATTTTCTTGCTAGTGTCATCCATTAGATAATGCCAGTTGAAAATAGCAGTACGTAGATAAATGAAAAAGATTGATTTGATAGGAGATGTGAGTGGTTACCTTGGAAAACAGCCAGATAAATGAGAATTTCATGAAAAGTTGTGGCTGTGGATAGCACCATAACTGCGAATGCTGATAAAATTGTTCCGAAGAGTGCCATCTGCCTGAAGCTGAATCTCTTGAAGACGGGTCCGTTGGCTAAACCTGGAGAACAGAGGAAATATTCCGAGTGAAAGGCCGTGAAAAATTTTGATTATAGAGATAATGAGTTGGAGTAGTCAAGGCCCCTCTATTGATTCTCCTCCCATCGATCGGTCATCAGCTCTCGTGCATAATCAGTTCAATCATTACAATGGAAATTAGCATACTGGGTATGTAGATAATCCCGTGACTCGGGTGATGCAAGCTAGTGCGTAGACGATCGAAGAGGAGCACTTGGATCGATTAACAATGTGAATGATTGATGTCTTTTCGATAATGATCGACCTAGATTTTATTGGGAATGATGAGTAAGGACATTTCCTATCAGTTTGATACATTCGCCATTTTTCAATTGATCGTTTTATTGTTGAGTACATGCGAATGAGTAATGATCACCGAGTGATTCGTAAAATTATAGAATTGTCACAATGATTTGTCTTTGTTGAGAAATATAATTACGTGGGCTGCAGCAAAATGCAAGAAAATAAATTGAATCATTCGTTTGGAAATCATCGGGAAGATTGGATGTTTCTCGTTTTGCCTAGTCAACAAAGGGTTTTTGGAGCTTGAAAGGGATGAAATTTCCATAAATACAGGTGGCTTTGTCAGATACTCCAATACCTCGGAGAACCAGAAAAAAAAGTATAAATAAAAATACCGAATCGTGCTAATGACGAAATGAGATGATTGCGTGGTCCCGCTGCTTTCAAAATTAAGCGTAAAAAAAGTTTTTAACGACGAAAGAGCAATTGCCTTGCGGCTTTCGTGTTGGCTCGATTTTGGCATGTGCCTGTTAGAGAGAAAGTCACAGCGCCAATTTTTTTGACTGATTCGCATTGTCGAATTGACAGGTTGATGACGAGCAATTTGGTGACTGGTCTGTCAATGGGTGGATTGTTGCAACAAAAGGTTTATTGAGTGCATCCAAACATTTCTGATTGATAACCAATAGTCGATCAATATTTATTCGAGATTCAGTAAATGTTTGAATGATACTATCGGCGAACAAACTTCATGGGTAGTTTTTATTATTTAGAATGTTGAATATAAATGTGGTAGGCAGAAAAACAAATATTTCCACTTTTACTGGAGACAGCGCGGGCATAAATCCAGTGAAAGTAGAATTGATCAGGAGCCAGCACAAGTGAAACGTAGATAGTGAATTCAAACTTACCTATCATAGCTGTTACAGCAAGATGAACATTCAGAATAGTTGTTGTTTCTGTGGGTGTTATTCCAAGTTCAGCCAGTTTGACTCGAAATATCAGGCCGAAATTTTGTATTGTCACTAGTACGCAAAGCTTCACGGATGTAAGGAAAAATAATAAATCAGTTCACTTTCTTTCAGTGGCTTGAATCTCAGAATTTAAGAGGTGAATCACTCACGTTTGAAAATCCAGCAGCAAGTACAATAATCCACCCCCAACCCCCGTCGGGGGCTACATAGTCATCCGCTAACTTATTGAGCTCTTCCTTGGGATTTTCATTCTTCTTGTTTTTCATATTATCACCTCTAGTCGTTGCACCACCCATTGCGGACGGATATCACTCTGCCACGATAGATCACGAATGGAAGAGCATTAGCAACTGGACAGTTGTTTGAGAGTTTATCCACTTCTCCATTGCGCGGTATCCCAACAAGTTCACACCCAGACGTGACGTGGTATACGCCTTTTCTGGTTTCAAGTGTAGGGAACGAGGTTTCAAGGTCATTGCTACAATTCAACAGGAATTATCTTCGAATTCTTGTGGTAATTCGCCATATTTATTTTAATTATCGTTACATTTTCAGCTCTCATTACATCTTTATATGAGTTAAAAGAAAATTTTACATAAGCCGATTTTACTTTTTAACTTCTTTTACATATTATTCATTTTTATATTTTCAGTTTAATTGATTATTGCTTATTTCGAGAGAGAGGGAGGGTAAAGTTTTTCTTGGGAGATTGTAAAATTCACATCACATGTCATCAGACTCTTCATGAGCATTGCAGATAATCTTATCAGCATTTAGAAATTCTTCGATTCGAATATTTTTTCTTAGGAACATTGAGTATTGCGAGTTATGACGCGAATTGAAATGAGAAAATTCACGGCAGGAACAGGTTCTACAGCAAGTGCACTTCGCTTGAAATGTTCCTGATTGAGTAGATAGTTTTTTATAGAACGCAAAAAATATAGTAATTCAAATGTTCATTAGATCAGGCGGGGAAGTCTCCCGTGATTGGTGAGTTAATGTGAGTGATTACACTTGAGGAATTCATGAGAAGTTATAAAAAAAACACTGGAATTGATGGAAAAACTACTTAGTGGTTAATTTCATAATCGGTAATATACATGAAAAAAAAATATTATAACTCTATTTCGAAACATGAATAAATGAATAATAAACATTCAATCAAACAGTATCGGATTTAATTTTATTATAGTGTCACCCTCAACGAAGTAGTGACTCGAGACGATTTTTAGCTAGAGGTCGTTACCATTTTTTTTGTTTCATCGAGAAATACGAAAGTAGAAATGTAAATGATTTGGAAGACGTTTATGGAGTTTTAAAAAATCAAAAAAATTCCCGTCGCAAAATCAAAATCTGCTCTTAATCTATTTTTCCTTTCTATAATCTAAAATATAATTCGTCACTAAGTCTAAACAGATATTCCCATTAACTATTCTTGCGCTGATCGAAGCACAATGTATGAACTGAGTACTGGCACTTTTTCCTTCGTGACTCATTCAATTAAATTGATGCACCAATAATTGACTCAGTGATTACACCGATAAAAATTACAATACGATCCAACAATTACAAGAAATTCAGTTGTTTTCCGATTAGAGAAGTCGGAGTAAGAGGTCCTCGAAAGAAAAAAAATGTTGGTTTGATAACAGCTACTCGAAACTTTGAGTACATAGTACTCATAATAGTACGTCATTGAACTGTTCAATGATACTAGACCCCTCATAATTTTTCACTACATCAATCACCATGTCATCCCACATGTTAAATATTACTTTTCAATTGGACTGAACTGGTTTCTTCGAGTAGTTTACTGGGTTTCTTACGTCGAATGGCTTTTAAAAAAAATTCAATGCTCCAGGTTATAAAGCAGACGAGGATGAGACAGCTCATTGCGTGGAGACAGATTCTGTAGCTGCCACTGTAGTCCCTGACATATCCTGAAAAGAGTATCAGCATGAATGTCAATTTCGAGTTCCAAACTTAAAATTCTGTAACGAAAAGGTAAAAGGAGGTAACTAGACTAGTCCTCCACCGAGCTTTTGAAAATATCTCCGAAACCAAGGAAGGTCATAAAATGTAGGTGTATTCATTTTTGTCGAGCTGATTAAGAGCTATAAAAATAATTACGAAAATTTCGTTAGCTTTTTTTGTTTCATATGACATTTTCATATTCTCGAAAGAATCATTGAGAAATAAAGTCAAGAGTTTGATTACTTTACAGAATTTAAACAGCACGGCCTTACCAACAAGAGGGCTGAAACAAAGTGAGAAGGTCCCTTTGGAAACCATGAAAAGGCCATAGGCATACGGAAGACTCTTCAATGAACATGTTTCAGACACCGACAACTGCAGATTCTGAATGGCAGCGCCTCGAATAAAGCCATTGATGACTAATACGACAAACAATAATATACCCTGTGACATTTCAGCCAGAACTGAAATGGAAAAAGTCAATTATATGGGAGAGGTGATAATACTTGGTCAATATTTGAAATTGTGGATAAATGGGGTGCATTGTTTGATCTTATGAGGTGTGTTACAAATAAAAGGTAAATGATTAGGGTGGACTCACTGGAGCGTCCCATTGCGACAAAAAGAGCATTGATCCAAAAGAGGCGACGCTTTTTGAAGCCTAGTCTGTCGTAAACTACTGGAAGCACTAATCGTGCTACGATGTCTGTGAAGGCCGTCAATGACAAGCAAAATGCAACTTCTCCTTCGGTCATTCCTGGATACGAAATGTTAAAATATTCAAAATCATTCAAGCAGTGGAGTATTAATTTCCCTGAATTTTCAATTTGTAGAAAATTCAAGTATTTATTGAGGAATCAATTATTATTTAACGTAAGGATAAATTTTTCGGGAATTTTGAAGATGAATAAGAAATTTATTAACCGCTTTCAATTGAACTTTTTGACTGAAATGTCAAGAAATTTTTGACAGTGCAATTGTGTGAGAATTCTTACCTTCTTACTTTTTTAAAAAATCTTACCGACTTGTTTTCGAAGAAAGAATGGCGTCATCATCTTGAAATTTGACTCAGCGACATTAAATAAGCTCAATCCCAAAATAACATTGAGATATGAGTAATTCCTCAGCAGATCGACGTCAAATAAATCGGTGATCACTTTGAAATATCGATTCCTTTCTCCCAATTTTCCCAAAAATTTTGCAGTTTTCTTCGGCTGCTCTTGGCCATTGGATGCAGTTGGATCTCGCCTCTCATCACTCCCATCGACTTGATTTGATTGCTTGATGAGTAATGCTTCACCCTCGTCTGTCTTTTTTTCCAGATCCGTATGATCTCCGTCAAGCACCTATTACACGAAGTAGTTTGGTTCGATGAAACGATATTGATTAGCAAGTGCGTCAATGGCTTTCATTGATCAACATCATTCTTTTACTGATAAACGTTGATAATGACCTTTGTAATAGAGGCCTACCTTAATTATTGGCGTTTGTTTGAGGGATTTTTTGGGTTTTAGAGGTCTCAATAGACAGGCACCAACAATCGAGTGCATTGACCACGCGCCGATAATTAACATTGTTCCACGAAATGCATAGAGCTCGAGGAGAAAATGGGCAGCCTAATGAGATAATCATGTGTTACAATAATATATTAACAATCATACATTTAATATTGCTTGTCGTAAATTGATTTTTCCAATTGCCAATCATTTCGAAATCGAATCTTTGCAACGCTCGAAACGCGTTTTATTTTTTTCCATTGTTTTGCTTCTCGCTATTCTTCTCTATTTTAAAAATTTATTACTTTCTGTCTTGTGTAGATATTTGAGCATAAAATTCGAAGAAAACAATTTGAGACAGCACATACTGGAGATTTCTTGCAATAGAATAATTCAGAGCGTACGCGTCGTTTTGTATGCAATTTTCCTCCCATGATTTCATGCCTCAACAATGATTTTTAAACTCACTTGCGGCACTACCATCATGGCGAGTGCTGTACCAGCTGAAGAAAAACTCACGGCTTGTCCGCGTTTCTTAGAAAAATATGAATTAAGTGCTACAAAAGCCGCTGCAACGGCCAAACCAGTTCCTACGCCTGCAAGTGAAGCATTAATAATTTATAGCATCAACGATCTATCGCCTATTGTATCGAATAAATAGCGTCTCACCTGTTAAAATACTGTAGGTAATTACTATGTGTAAGAAGCTATTAGCGAAGGCGGTTAGCATCAATCCAGTGCAGGAGAGTGTGCACCCAAAAGCTGCGACCGTTCGGAATGAGTATCTAGTGAGCAGAGGTCCTACGAAGAGTCCTGTTAATTAAATTAAATATTGTTTAAAAAAATTAAATATTGTTTCATTTGTTCAAGAATTATATAATAATAAGTCCCGATTGTCTGAATGAATTCCTTCAGTTTTCAGTGAAACCAGCAATTTTTCAGATCATTGAAAACAGCAACTAGATTCCAGAAAGGAATAAATAATGAAATGCAGGGGTAGGGCCGGTGTCAGTAGATATAGAAATTTCCTTTTAACATCGAAGAATTGAAAAAGGAAATTTCTTATGTTGTGACGGATTTATGGATGAGTGTGACGTTGACGATATGAGGCGTACCAATCGCACTTGACGAAAACCCCAATCCGACCAGTAATGAACAATATTCTCTGCAGTTATTTTTGCATCCACAATTTTAAAAATATTATTTTTCCAAGACTATGAATGATGCCTTGAAAAACTAATTTCCGAACGACAGAGCGTGGCAATGAGTACAAAAACCTGTTTTCTCGCATCTGGAAACGTTTCTTCTAACATAAAAATTCCTTCTTTGTCAATAAAAATTAAAATGATTACTCATAATCTCTTTATCCTGAAAAGTTCCGTAATTATTTGAAATAAAATAAAAAGTTAGTGATTTGATGGATAATGAATGATACCTGAGAAATTGCAGCATGCGTCTAAAACACTGAGGATGACAGAAGCCTTCGTCGAATCAATCTTCAGATCAGTGAGAAGGTCATCGAAGATCAGCCCGAAGGAAGGATCCAATGACCTCAACGAGAACTGTTACATTTGGCCAAACAAATCATGACAGTAAAAAATAAAAATCGTCAACAATGACATCTTAACTATGCAAATGCACGGCATGCGTGCACAGGCAATTGTGCCCGGATATTACCGTTATTAAACTGCTTCCCAAACACGCAAACCATCCCCAACCACCATCCGGTGCCTCTGGTTTGTCCTCACATTCATTCTGCTTCCTTTTTTTCATAGTTACAGGTAGAATTTAAAAAATTCAACTGCACTCACAACATCAATACGTCCGGTAACACAACTGTCTTCACAGAAAATAATGAAATAGTGAGGAAAAGATTGCAAAGAATCTCGCGCCAGTCGCGAAGCACAAACCCAAATACCGAACGTATGTTCGAGAGTGCCGAGCCACTTATCACTTACAATCCACCATTAGCAATGATACCTTATCACTGATTACGCTTATGGAATTCAACGTTTCATTAACATATTCTATAAGCCCCAACTGTCGGTCCCGTTGTATTTTTCCAATTTATCGGCGATTATTCAGGATTGACTCTGGGGGATTAATCGGGGTGTCACTAATTCGTTAACTCCACTGATTAATAAGTCTCAAAAATACTTAAAATTCAGGTGTTTGGGTTTGATTTTTTAAACGTTGAGTAATTTAATTATAATATCAAAATTACCTTCAAAATTTGTTGCTGCGTTTGATGAATTGTGATTTATTTTTCAGACGAATAAAATTTTACGTCAGTTTGCTTCGAGCTTTTTAGTTATCTAAAGCAGTAGATTATGCACATTGGAGTCAGACGTTTAATAGTTTTATTTCGTTTACTTTGCACCGGTATTGCACTTCCTCTGTAGCAATGACAAATACAATGTCGCATTAATTGAAATACCGGAAAAACCAGATGTTAGCAATGAAAGGTTTTTTATGGAATATTATATCGGTATCGCTGATGATTTAATTGATAGAGTTGGTGTTGACAAAAGCCACTAGTGACAAGTCATTAATTGATGGTAATGACAGGTATCACAATGTTGCTGTTGCACGAGGTTATCAGCTCGGAGGCTACTGTTCAAGTATTTACGAGAAGCTTGGAGGAATTAGAGTATTGACGACTGACAATTGGAAGGAGAATTCGATGAATTTCATCGGAGGCAGTAATTATTTTCCAGATCAATTATGTATGAGGAAATTGGTTTTTTTAATCATCCAGTTTTTAATTGTGCGATTATACTTTCAAATTTCTATGAAATTTCTGTGAATAAATAACATAATTTCATAATTTTATAAAATTAAAAATTTAATGGTTATTTTTATGGTTAAAGTGCCGGGGAAAATATTTAATGATAATTTTCGTTTTGCATTTCCCTGAATAGGGGAGATAATGATAGAGGCTGTAAGTATGAGAATCACGAACAATGAGTGCTACAATCAATTTACTGGATGTTGAAACTTGTAATCAAATGACGCATAAACATCTTCGTGGAATAATTAGAAAGACTAATTTTTAAAATGATTATGAACGCACTAACGATAATTTGTTATTAGAAATTGTCTTTGAAAATTCGATAAATTTTGATAATCACAAGCTTTTAAATTTTTCATTAATTTTTTCTTTCCTTCTAGTAACTTGAAGTTTTACTACAAATCACATTTTTTTTTTCAAAAATCCCTGCCTGAATCTCTCACTGCATTTATAGTAAAGCATCAAATCAATACAAATACATCTAAACGGGTGATAATGTAAAATGTATTTTAAAAATAAAAATCACTCACATTGAATCAATTAATTCAGCAACGGAACTCACTATCAAGTGAAGTACCAACTTACACGTGGAATGTTTAGGAAAACTTGCTTCCCTTGATGAAGCTACATTGAGTAATCCCAAACGATGGCAATAATTCATCAAGCTGGTAAGAAGAAACAAATAGCTGGCAAGCGCCTAAAATATCAACTAGTCAGATAACACATCTTCCGAGTCAATTGTCTAATGCCATCGTTCACACCTCATAGTGTTTCCATCACACTCGCCACGGGGATCGTTCATGAAACTTAGACAGTTATTCATTATCAGTTTATATCTGTTTACTCAAAGTGGTAGAAATCAGAGTCTTTAACAATTTTTATTTTGCCAATAGTTCAGAAAAAAAAATTCTCCCCGTGAATATGGTAGAACCATCATCAGCTAGTGATGAAAAAGAGATCAATAAGAAAAACGAGAGAGCAGAACTCAGACTACATGAAACTGCGTATTTTGACAGCGATGATGACGACAAGTTGACACTCGAGGATTTGGCACCCGACGGGGGCTGGGGGTGGATGGTGGCTCTAGCAATGATTCTCGTTCTCGTAAGCAATCACATCAATCAAATCATAATTATCAACATTTCCATTCAATTGAGACAATTTCTGTTTGCGTTTGCGTTTGCCATCAGCTTGTTTTTTTTTTATTGGAAAAGACTCAATCTCAGATGGTATCGGCCGGTGATCAAAGTAGGTCTTACAGAATGAGTGTAATACATGATAGCACTGTGATAATCATCCACTCTGCGTTTCTCCTTATCAATATTCAATGCAATCGATATCTCGGAGGGGCCAGAGCGAAAAATTGTCTCGTGACATTTTGCAAAACGAAATGTGATTGGATATTTTTGAAACTAATATAGTAAGAAAATTTTTTAAAAATAATTTTGAATCATATTACGCTAATTATAATAGTACTCATAGTACTATTTAATTGGATTGTATTTTATTGGAATAATCCAATGCGTTCAATGACCAAATTACATCAGGTAAATTCCAATTTTACAAAAAATTCACAATTTTGGATTTTAATTAATATTCGATTCATCATCAAAATACTAAATGTGCCCCGATGATTTTGGTTTTCCTCGATTCTCTGTGCTGGTTCGATTAATAGAAAAAATAACATGACAATATGAAATGATATTAAAAACAGGTAACGATTTTCGGCGCAACTCCTTGTTTTGCAATTATATTTGGAGAGTTTTTCGAGGCGACTGGACAAGGTGGCTCGATGATGACACTTCTGAATTCAGTCTTCATGATTAGTTATTCTTTATCAGGTAAGTATTTTTAGATCAAGAATTTTTTTATGCTCACACTATAGGTACAAGGTCTCTAACATTTAAATCTACAGCGCATATTATCTCTATTCTTATCTATACTCTGTCCTCATCGTAATTCTATTCAATCCATGAATAAAGTCGGATGATGCGGAAGGGAAGATTGTTGGGGATTTTGAAATATGAAAATATTTATACTGATATTTTAGGGCTCTTGACGAATGTTTTGCTGAAGAAATACTCGATGAGAGGTGTTGGGGTAGCTGGCGCTGTATTGTTCTCCGTACCCAATGTCATGTTGGCATTTGTCACTCATGTTTATGAAATGGCTATCATTTCTTTCATCCAAGGAGCTGGCGCTGGATTTGTCTACACAATCCTCAATGCCAATTTTTACGCGTATTTTGTCAAAAAGAGGGCCATTGTGAGTCTGTTACACTGAAAAAAAATCATATTTCTAGAAACTTAACTTTGCACAAGTAAATTGAATTATTTGGTTCGTTTTCCATTAGCTTATATTAGTAACACCTCTGGTTATGTAAAAAACCGATATTTATGAGAAAGAGGAAAATTCATAACCATTTTTGTAATTATCCCAGGTAATGAGCGCTGCGCAAGTGATTGTTGGTATCGGATCGATTGTATATCCAATTTGGATCGCACAAATGATGGAAACGTACGGATTTCGAGGTATATCTATTAATATCCATTAAATAATAATGCCCTAAGAAAAAGAAATAGTTCTGCTAATCAAATTCACTAATTGCAAGAAAACCCAGTCATTCGGAATACAGATATTTCTTTATATTTATTTGAAAAAAATGATTCGAAAGAATTATGAATAATATTCATTTCTAGGAACTGCTGCTCTTGTTGGCGCGATGAGTCTTAATGGAATCATGGGGATGATGTTGATGCATCCTGTTCAGTGGCACTTGCGGGATCCTGAAGAGGTGCGCGAGGAGAGGCGAAAAATGAGAGCGGAAAAATTGTCCCAGGATTCAGGTCTCAGTGACATGTTCAATCATGTAGGTGTGAAGGATCGGAGATTTACACTTGGGGATATCAACTTGAGTTTAGAAACTGGTCGATGGAACAGTTTAGAGAATTTCAGGTGCAAGAAATCGGGGCTAGTTCATTCATCGATCCTAATCGAATCTCAAAAGGTAATTCAATTGAATGCGATTGTTATTAATTAATGGATTCATTTATTTGAATATATTATTTTATAATAATTATACAAAGTTTATTCATTCAGCTATTCACTTATGACAGTGAGTTTCTTTTATAAATAATATTCATTCCTAATTGTGATATCAGAATGTATTTGCCGAGTTATACGCTGTTGACACCCAGATAATGGGAATAAATCGGGCCAGGAGGAATTTTCGGAGAGCTTGCAAGGTGTAGTTAGTTAGAAAAATGTTTAGAAAAATTGAATAGCAAAGATGAATATTTTCGTTTGACGCCATAAATTTAACTGAGTTTCACATATTTGAAATTTTCTGAGAAAAGGAGGGGGAATTATAAATTTTGGGAGTACCTTCGGAAAATTTGCCCTTATCTCGGTAAATTTTGACGTAAGTCACTGTGTGATTTTTGTATCAACCTTGGCCTCATATAAACACGAGATGAGACTAAAAAAAATTAGGTTTCGACTCGGAATTTTTTCAAAAAAGCAGAGAGCCGATTTCTTTTACAAATAGTGGCAGGCGGTTTACCGCGGAATTGTTGACTTTAATTATCAATGATAATCATTTATTAATCACCTATTCAGGAACAGGCAGAGAGAACATACTCCGCTGGAGACGGTGGACTGTTCCGTCCAAGATCGAAATCTGGTTCAGGCAGACCGAAGCTTCCACTTCAGCAAACATTCTCAATAACTTCGGCTTCCAGCATTGGAAGCATTGCAGGTGCTCTAGTAGGAGCTCAACAGCGTATGGAATATTTACCAAAGCACGTAAACGGCCACGATGGAAAGACGGAGCAAAAACTGGAGGAGCAAAAGGATTTGATTACAAAGGAGACGAGTCTGGATAAAATGAAAAACGATGAATTTTCGACGATGTAAGCTGAGAATTCTTCATTCGATTTTAACTCACCCGATCTACTAATGATTTTATCGAATACTACAGGAAAATTCTGTCAGATCTGCTTGAGCTGTCACTCCTGAAAGACCGACAATTCATGATTATGAGTTTGGGCATGAGTTTTGTATTCGTAAGTGATTACACATTCTCCTCGTTACTCACTCTGGCTATGTTGGAGAGTGGATACACTACCAATGACACATCTATGACGATTACCGTAGGAGCCACTGCTGAACTAGTATCTAGGATATTTCTAGTTGTATTCACTTTATTCGTGAAGGCTCGAGCTAAGACGCTATTTTTCTTTGCAACTATCGCTATGGCTGGGGTCAAAATTGGTAATGAAATATTTAACAGATGCATTCAACCATCAAAAAACGTATAGAAAAAAAAAATAATGCAACTTCCCGAGGTTTTTTGGTGAATTCTGTTCAATTTTTATTGAAACTTTCTATAAATTCTTTTGGGGATTTTATGTAATGGTTTTATTGGAATGCACAGGTGTTTTCTGGATTTGTTTTGAGGAGTTATAATTTTCTTTCAGCATTTTTCTACCTCGAAAGTTCCCTAACTGGGATAATGGTATCATCCGTATTGATAGGAATTGTCCGATCATGGCTGAGTGTTCCACAGCCCTTAGTAGTCGTCGAGAATCATCCTGTGGAAAAATATGCCGCATGTTACGGTATATACTCGTTAGTCAGTGGATTCATTATCATTACTGCTGGTCCTTTCCTGGGTACGTCTTGCAATTATAATCTTCATTGATGAACGAAACAACAATGCCCAATAACAAAATATCTCGACAGGTCTAGTCAAAGACGTGACAGGTAGCTTCAAAGTATGCCAGCTGTTCTTGATCGCCACGAATTGTCTCCTCATTCTCCCCTGGGGGTTAGAGATGGTGAGGAAATTTTGGAAGAGGAAATCGACACCGGAAAAATAAACGAATGACTTGCAGTAGTATTGACGTACAATAATAAGTGTATTTATTAAATAAAATCGTATCACGAAAACATAATTCATTAATCCTTTAGGTACAGAGGAGTTTTCCTTGAAGAAAAAAAACTTAGCTTTCATCTCGTCAATTACAAATTCATTCTGAATAGCACTTTGCGATGAAAGACGATATTTATATGTCATTTATGTTTTCAGTTTATGAATATCATTCATAATGTATACTCAATTATTATCCAATCGTTGGAAGAAAAACAATGCGCCAAATCTGGAATGATTTGAATCAGCTGAGTAGGCCAGAATTCTCGATTGATACTAATTTTTTCCTCACGCTGTAGTCTGATAGCAATAATACCATCTTCAAATAAAAAACGAGGGAAAATGATACGAAGAAATCGTTCAACACATGATAAGAAATCTGTTTAGTCAATTGTCGACTCGTGTGGCTTCACTTACCGTTGTGTATTCATTTGCAGTGCACATCAGAACGTTGAGAAACTCTGTAGCTCAATTAGCTCTTAATTTTGGTCAGTGGAAAGCGAGTAACTTTTTTTTGAATGGTACTTCCGACTTCAGTGAGTAAAATGTCTAATGTCGTCGGTAATGAGGACTTCGAGTCGCCCGGGGAAATATCGTGGCATCACAGTTTGAAGCGGATGCTGAAGAGTCAAACGATCGAAGCCGAAGACATTAATGATGAGGAGACGCTGACACAAGAGGATTTGGCGCCTGAGGGAGGCTGGGGGTGGATGGTTGCCTTGGGATTGACAATCATATTTGTGAGTGATTCTTACGGGGTTATCACATCAAATTTTACTCAGAGAAATCTATCTCTCTAAATTGTGTAAAAGTCTAGAGTCATTCTTGCACTAGGAAAAGAGCCGATAGAGTGCTTCGAGCGTCAACCTCATTAGTTTTATCAACTAAGTTTCTCTTCTTTATCTTGACAACATCTGAAGATAAATTAAGTGTTTTGTTTCAATTCAGAACGAAATTTTCCATTTAAGACTCTCCATTTCTGTCTTCAAATTGAAAAGTTTTATCTGATGAATTTATTTTAAAATTTTCAGGGATTCATAATGGCATTATTACTAATTTATTATGTAATGGTTAATGTAAGATTTTTTGTGCAGACCGTGATATTCAGCGCTGTACCATGCGTTCCCATCCTGTTTGGAGAACTGCTGGAGGCCAGTGGTTCCCCTGGATCTTCCATGACAATTCTCAACACGATATGGACACTCAGCTGGTCGATATCAGGTTTCGCATCTTCAAATAATCCATTCATATCATTGCGATTTTTAGAATAATCAATGAATTAATGTGATGAGGCAGGTAAAAGACAGTAATAGGATTTAGGTGGTGACTAAGTTTTCGCGAAATATCCTTGAAGTCACGAGATACATAATTCCATCCTACAAAAAAAAATACTTGTGAAAAATTTCGGTATCCCTCTCCGGTTCCGAGATATTCCTCGCTGACTTGACTAACGAATTCGGGAATATTTCTCTAGGGCTCTGTACAAACGTACTATTGAAAAAATTTCCAATGAGATTGATTGGCGTCTCCGGTGCTCTGGTGTACTCCGCTTCTTGGATGATGAGTGCCGTAGTGATGAATGTTTATCAGCTGGGAATTACCTTCTTTGTTCAAGGTGTTGGCTTAGGCATTATGGCCACAATTTGCCAGTCTAATTTTAACGCTTATTTCGTGAAGAGACGAGCCACAGTAAGAACCTTACGATTTTTACAAGTTATCATTTATGCCAACCGAATTTTTGTTTAACACTTCTGTACTCCAGGTGACGAGTGCCACTCAAATCATTATGAGTTTATTTGGCGTACTCTATCCTATTATGATAGGGGAAATGATGAAGGCTTTTGGATACCGAGGTATAAAACGCAAATAATGATTCCTCATAAGTATTTCACATATATTTTTTCAATTAACTTTTTCATTTTCTTTTTTCATTCTTCGTCTACTCGTTTTCATTTACTTCTTTCTATTTATTATAGTGTCAGGGTGAAATTTATTTTCGTTTTGTCGCTCACAGGTACAGTAGCTTTGATTGGAGCTTTGAGTCTCAATAGTATTTTCGGAATGCTGCTCATGCATCCTGTTGAACAGTACCTGAAGAATCCCAAAGACGTTATCGCCGCGAGGCGAGCGAAAAACCACAGGAAATTATCCCAAGCGAAAATGAAAATCGGTGATTCTTCTCAAGATATTCGGATAAAAACTCCTATAAATAACGAAACAAAATTGAACATGGAACCAAGTAGATGGAGCAGTCTTGGAAATTTAGAAGAAGGCTCCCATCTAGCTTTGCTCTCAGAAACTCTCAAAGTATTTACAAGTGACAATTCCATTAATTAGAACTAGAGAAAATTTCCTTTCACTGATAAATAATTTTCAGGAGAAAGTTGCATCGAGTTCTGACGTTGCGTTGATAAGAGACCCGAGGTCGAGAGTCAACTCAATTTCAAGAACCCCTGTACGTGGACCGTCAGTTCTTTCGTCCCCCAGTTCGAGTATAGCAAATCTCGGAGCTGCAGTTGCCGAGATGCAATTACGTAAAAAAACTCCTCCAAAAAATGCGGCGGATATTCAACCTGATAAGAGCATGATGATGCTGAAGGAGAAGAAGAATTTTATTGCGGGGACAAGTGAAATAGTCAAAACCACAGAAGACCAAGGGGCCATGTACTAACTAAATAAGTCAGCTTTACTTAAGAATTGTTGAGATTTCGGGGAATTTCAGAGAAATATGTGCTTCGCCAGATCAATTCCATAACGAGCTGTTCACAAAAATTTCGTTGCTTCTCGCAGATCAAATATTCCTTTGCAATATTCCTTGAAAACTAGAACAAGTAATCTTTTACCTCTTGGCTACTGATTTTTTAAGAGGGTTCATCGTGTCTTATTAAATTTTACTTTCAGAGAAATGATCATGGAGTTGTTTGACTTATCGATCCTCAAGGATTGTACCTTCATAACCATGTGCTTGGGGGTGAGTTTTGCAATCACCAGTGACGTAATATTCGTTACATTGTTGCCATTAGCAATGTTTAATAGCGGATATTCAACCGTGAATGCGGCGTATGCTGTTGCGATATCCTGCGCTGCAGAATTCTTCTGCAAAATTGCCTTGACAATAATGACAATGTTCATTGACGTCCGGGCGAAAACATTAGTATTTTTGGCTATGATTGCTATGGCAGTGGTTAAAATCGGTGGGAGAAATTCAATTACCCGTTTTATTTAGATCAATGAATAACGCAGTAATTCACGATGACTAATTGAATTTTGTTCAATCTTACAGCGTATTTCAATCTAGAATCAAGTTTAATGGGCATCATGGTGTCTATGGTTCTAGTTGGAACCGTAAGGGTCTGTTTATTCGTTCCTCAATCTCTGGTAATTGTCGAAAATTATCCTGTTCACAAGCATGCCGCTTGCTACGGAATATATTCCATGATCAGTGGACTGACATTCATTATAGCCAATCCCATCTTTGGTATGTGACATAAAGATGAATAATTATATAAGCGTAGAAGTTAAACATACTTCTCATAAAATTTCCGAAAAAATGATTGTTTGATATTTTTTTGTAAGATCGATAGTTTTTGAGATTAGTCAATATTTAACAAGCATCACAATTAAAATTGTTTTTAAAGTATCAGTTAATGGAATCGATAAATTAATATTAACATTTCTTCTGTGTATATTATTTTCAGGTCTCATCAAGGATTTGACTGGCAGTTTTTCCGTATGCCAGCTGGCTCTAATCGCTCTGAACTGTGCATTTATACTCCCATGGGGAATAGAACTAGCAGCATACTATCGGAACAGAAGAAAACAAGAAGTAGCGAATCCCGCTAACTAATTTTAAACATTTATTATTTTCAATCATAATCATTCACATAACATTCGTGGTTTTCGTTCGCGGCTCGATCCAGATTGGGAAGCCATCTGTACGCTTCAGGATTATGTCCAATTGTAGCCGGAAATCCGCTTCAGTCAGATCGGAGAGAATCTTATAGTTTCTCAAGATGGTGGAGATGAGCACTTTCAGCTTCAACATTGCATATTTCCGACCCACGCAAGATCTGCGAAAATATGCATTTCTTTATTTTTATTGATGAAGTCAGCATAACCTCAAATACTGTTCAAATCGTTTGTGATTCCCCTGTTTTTATACAGCAAAATAATTACGAGGGATATAATGCAAATTTTAAGTAGTTTCGAGAGAGAAAAATACGAAGAAAAAGGAAATTACTTTTGTCCAAAATCCAATTTTTCCATCAATCCACGATTCATATCATATCATCTCACATTCAAATAATTAAGATTTTCATAATGAATTTTCTCCAGAGAAGACGCATCTTCCCAATAATTATTCAAACTGAAAGTGTCTAAATATTCAGCTTTGAATGATAATTTATTAATAAATTATTATTATTAATTGACAAGCAATATCCTGAACTTTTGTGAGTCACAAGAAAAGAATGAATAGAAAAACCTAAAAGTTCCCTAAGAAGTTCTCCAACCAGATGTACAAAAATCATGAATAAAAAAAGATGAGCTTTATTTTTGTATAAAAATAATTGAGATAAATTTTTTTCTGACCTTGGTCCAGCACTGAAAGGAACGTAAGCATAATAGTGCCTGCTCTGTGTATTTTCGGGCAAAAATCTATCGGGATCGAAGACCTCTGGATTTGGATAGTACTCCTCAAGACGATGTATTTGATACTGTGCGATAATCACTGTAGTGCCTCGAGGTAGTACATAATCACCAGATGCTGAAATAATTTCACAAAGTAATTGATCATTCAAGTAATCCTCATGTCCAAATAAAACGAGTGGTTTCCTGTTGAAATGATTACCAAGCTTGACATCCTCGTTGAGATGCCTGGCGATAGCTGGCACAGGAGGAAACATCCTCAATGATTCCATGATGACACGTTCTAGGTATTTCATCTCCAGTGTATCTTGGAAGGTGCAGGGGCGATCTGATCCTTTAAATATACTGTCCAGCTCCTCCATGACTCGTTCCTATTTATGCAATCATTGAGTATTGAATACACAAAAGACGAAGTTGTTTTTTCACTGAAGTTAAACTTAATATTCATTTTTTTATAAATATATCAGGTATTCCATGTTAAATCAATCAGTTCTTCTTGATCACTCAGTCCGCGGAGCAGCATTTTATAGCCTCGGCTTCACCTCGGACTACAAACTTACGATCGCCAGAAAAGTTTCTAACGGCCTAGTGACGAAATACACTAATTGTGATTTTTTGTTCTCTTTGGCGGAATTAAATATCGAGTCTTCTTTATTTTCGTATTAGAAAAATAAAAGAAGGCTGGTGGGGAAAATTTACAAGTCAAATGGACGCGGCTGACTTTATCTGGAGAAATGGGCGATGCGGTGAATGGGCAAAAAATATTTACTAAAATGTGTGCGACTTGTCATACAGTTGAGGCAGGAGGTAAACACAAAGTGGGGCCGAATTTGTTTGGAATTATCGGGAAAACTGCTGGCAGTAAGTGATGTTAACCAAATCAACGCAAAAACCAACTCGTGATAGAATTTAATTTTTGACTATCCGCTCATAGCCACCGCTGGTTTCAACTACTCCGAGCCCATGAAGAAAAAAGGAGTGACTTGGAATAATTCAACGCTCAATGAATACCTGGAGCAGCCGAAGAAATCAGTGCCAGGAACAAAAATGGTGTTCGCCGGCTTGAAGAAGGCGAACGATCGAAATGACGTTATTGCCTTCTTAAACACGTTAAAATAAAATAGAGTTGAGTTACCTGAATGTCTTGATGGATCCCCAATACACAGAGAGTGAAACTGGAGCCAGCAGCTGTAGTGTCATGACCCTGCGGACAAGATAAAATGATAATAAATTATAATATCCTTTATTGAATAAAATATTGAATGAAGGATATTATGTAACCTCGAACATGATAGTGTCAACCTCCTCTCGAACCTCGTCTTCAGTCATGTTCGCTCCATTCCGTGAAAGCTCCAGCATCAGATCCAAAAAGGCTAATCGTCTCTTCTCCCCTAGAATAAATAAAAACTCAGTCATAAAGAGTTTACTAAACTAAGTCGGAAGTTTTCGAGAAATATTTTAGAAGCTTAGAAGGATGTTGAAAATTCTCTATCAAAAATTATTTGTGATTGTTTTCAGTTACGGATTTTTAATTCCCATGTGTACATAATTCACGATATTAATAAAGTATCTACTAACCCACATCGTTCTCATCAATTTCGTCGAGATCGTCTCTTACGTATTTCATGTTCGAGGATTTAATGATCTCCGTTGTCTTCGAATCAATGGACTTGCCCTGCCTGAGCTCCTCAGGGTAAGCGTCCTCTCCCTTTTCCTCGTAATCCTTTTTCCTTTTGTCCATAATACCTCTGGTCAATCCATGAATAATGCTCAGGAGTTGCTCCTGCTTTGTCGCGTACTTTGACCACTTGAAGACTGGGTCCATACGAAGCATGAAGTTGTACTGCCTCTGGTGAACAATATTGCACAACCTGCAGAGAAATGAATCCATCAACAACAGGTCCCTTCATCGAACGATTGGACTGAAATAAAAAATCATACTTCATTACAGCCATGGCATAATCGAATCCAGTCTTTTCTCTCTTTCCTCCTCGCACGCCCATGGCAGTATCCAGGAGGATATCAACAGTCACTGCAGACAAGTAATCGTGGATATCGAATTTCTTGCCAACCTCCAACTTCAGCCTCTTCACTAGGTCCAGACTGTTCTCATAGAACAGAGGAACAAAGGTTTTGAGGACATTGAGGTGGAAGGTAGGGGCGATTATTTTCCTGTGTGTCCTCCACTTCTCTCCAGTGCTGATCAGAAGACCCTCTCCAAGCCATGGCTTGAAGAATCTGCAGAATCAAACCGGAATTGATCAATCACAATCATCAAACTTTTATCAGACACTGAGTTGCCCTTCCATAATGCAGTCAAACCCGACGATCAAAATTCGGAGAAAATTGGTCTTTAGGATTGAATAATGCAAAAATACCTGTACTCTGCAGATTTATCGAGATGGACATGGCTTCCCAGGATAATCTCAACGTCCCTTGGGTCGATCAGAAAGACAATGAGCTTCGTACCGAGAAAAGCTCTGATAACTCTGCCGTAATGGAGGTATTTGATCACTTCACCCATCACGTCTTCTGGAGCAACCCCGAAGGCGAGTAAAGCATTCCCGAAGAAGGGAACAGTTTTTGGTCCTGAAGGTGGAAAATTTTACAACGTAAAGGGCGGAACTTTCGAAAATGAGAATTAAAAAATGAAATAATTTTCTCGTTGAATATTGTTTGAGTCAATAGATTTTTTTTTAATTTACCAGGCAATTTGTTTCCCATTCGTACAATCCTCAAGTTCTCAATATACCAGTGGACTGCCCAAAGACTAGCGACGATGAAGACGAGTGGGTAAAAGAGACTCGTCGTGAAGTAGGACGAGGAGGCAGCAACAGGTACTGCATCCATTTTTTAATTGTATTTAAAACACTGCGAAAAGCTCGGTGCACTAACGAGCAACAACGACAGACAACTCGTCTCTTTCTCTTAATTCTTCTCTTATATGACGTTGAACTTTCGCTATCCAGTGTTGATGATTGACCCTATCCTCAACAGATCACAAATTGCGCAGTTACCCTCAATTGCCAGCAATTGAAAACTTTTTCAACTTCTCACGATTCCCAGTTTGGATACACAATGCAATTTTCCTCAATCTGATTGGTACTTTTATAACCGCGGTAAGTCTGCGGAAATATTCCATATGTATAATTTTTACGTATGCAGTGACCTTGCCCCTCGACGAATTCATTTTGCATCGCAAATGGCAGTTCGTCGGCTCAAACCGACGAAAATATTGGAAAAACGATTCCATGATGTCGAATGAGTAATTCACTTCAGGTTCAGTTTACAATTTTTTCATTCCTAGCCAAATCTATGGTTCATATAGCAGAAATTTTCAGCCGTGAAGAGTTCGACTAAAAATGATGAATACACTTAATTACGAATGATATACCAATTAATTAAAAACGAGGAGTTGAAAATGTGTCAATCGAACAAAAACTCAAGAAATTTCTAGAATTTCCTTCCAACTCTAGCTTGAAAATATACAATTTTTTAAACGAATCCTTTGCATATTCAAAAAGCTCTCACTTGAAATATTGAATATTACTAATTTACACTGATTGGGCAGGCAATCAGTGAAAGCGAATTCAGTTTTCGACACGAACAATGCATTATTCAATAGACTGCATGTGCATGTGGGTGCTTTAAGTAATTTCCCATCGCCCAACTTGTCACCTGCCGAAAGGGGTAATTACATATTGATGAAATTCGTAAAACTATGTTTTGATTCTCGATAAATCACGTTATAGTACACGAGTTACTCATCGCCGATATTCAATCGCCCAGAGAGTCATTTTGAATAATAATTAATGGTATGTGATTAGGTCAATAGTGTCTTTGTTGCAGCAGAGCACACTGCCATAATTTAAGTCTCATCACTAGAATTTCGCCGATTTATTCCACCGATTTATTTCACCGATTTATTTCACCGATTTATTCTGAATAATTGAGCTTCAATCGCGAATACCAGAATGACATACAAAATACGTGTCAATCATCGAGGAAAGATTCACCAGCGGGTCAATATTCCCGTAGTTTTCAGAAAGTTTAGAGGTCAGTGGAGTACAACTGCTTGTCGATTCAGAATCTCATTTATGTTTAGCGTCTGTTGAATTACATGGAGAGGTCGATGCAGTATATCAATCAATCCCAATTTGTTTTAGTCACGTCTCCCACATGGAATAAAAACAAACAAAAGCATTCGCCACAAATGGATATGATAAACACCAAATAACTGGTAATATTCCGCTTCAATATAGAATTTTGAACATTTGCGTTGTCCATTACTTATTACTATTATTGGGGTTGAACTTGAGTGAGGGGGTGGCGGTTAGATAGCAGGTCAGTAAACGACTCAGTCTATAACGGCCGGAAGCACTCGGCAACCGGAAGTGACGTGGCAACTCTAGCAGGTCTACCCCCTGCATAGAATCTAACCGGAAATCCACCCTCGTGCTCGACGAAAATGAGGAAAAAATTGTTAAAACAACGGGCGTCGTCTGTTCCATCATCCAGGCATAACCAATTTCATCAGGTAGGAAAATTAACGAATTTATTTTGATTACCCACAACTCCACAACTCCACCCCCATCACCAATCGTCGTCTCTCATAAAAAAAAACACAGCCATGAATGGATCAATAAAAGTAACAAGACAAATATCATCATAAATAGTATAAATGTATTTTAAATATCCAAAATTGACAAAAGTTACAAGTACAAAAAATATTCTCGACGTAATGTATTCTCTTAGTTAATTTAAGGCACTGGTATATACAATGTTTTGATTGTGTCTCGCGAGGCGTCAACGACGAGGATTTAAAATTGTATAATCAATGGAATATTGAATATTCAGGGAGAAAACGAGAGAGAAATTATTGCAAACGTGAAATGCACTTTTTGAGCAAGCATAAGTACGGTTTAGCATGAAGACAATTCTCTCCGTTAACATTTTAATATTTTCGAGGAATAAATGACTCTTTTCTCCGTATATAATCAGTATTTTCCGTTCCTTCCACCGCTATCGCTGACGCATCGTTGATATTGTCGTAATCGTTGTACTACATATTAAGCGGAACGCACATCGATGGGCAAAGGCACTAACAATCCGCTTCATTTCAATCCCACGGAGCGACACTCTTATATCATATGATTCTTGAAATTACCCTATGAATATCGACTTTTGGCTCATTTTCAATGAAAAATATCTCATTCTTACAAAATACTCGTATGCAGATTCCTCTGAATTCTTAATATACACATGTATACATATATTCTGTATAAATTTAACTGGAAAAAGTTGAACTTACATCTTAAGGCACAGTATTGGAGACTCATTGAAATTTACAAGCTGGTTTGGGTTTCATAAACTCATCAAATGTTGCTACCATTATTGTCGAGTCTCGACGGCAATCGACTCAACAATTTAAATGGCAATGAACGATGTCTAAGAGATATTTAATTAGATCCACCATCTCCTGTAGCTGAAGTAAATACAGTCGTTGCAACGTTGATTTTTAATCATTTCCCAGTGGCTGACTAATTCTTGGTGAGATCAGGATACTCTGGGAAAATATAACAAATGTTTCTCGTTAGTCGTGTCGAGGCCCCTTTTATTTTTCACTTTAACTAATGCTTAATATTTTTTTTTCCCTCTGTTAGTTTAGAAAGGTAATAAATTCTTAAGGCGAATCGAAGCCATATGGGAAATCTTCGGAGAGAGTGAGAGAGGGAATGGGGGAGAGGTCTCCAATGGGCACAAGAAATCAGGGTTTCCTATTTTTTTTTTCCGAGGGGAAGCAAAACCGTTATGTATCTTCCATCCCAGAGTCTCAGAGTATTTCACTTCCTCGGTGTTTACCCCAAAACGCATTTCTCCCTTTTTACAATAATTTCGATATCTCCTTCCCCTCTGTTAAATGCACACGTGGAGCATGTCCTTCCGGAGAGCAGAAAAGATACATTTTGAAGGATAAATCCTCCTCCTTTCACTCATTGTTCATCCATCCCATTGTCCCCTTGCACCTAGCCCAATATTCTTCGTGGATTTCTCTCCCCACGTGGGTATACAGAAGCAATCTATCGTTCAAGATGGAACAGGGCTTTTTACCTGAGAAATGGGGAAAATTAAATCCAGGCCAGGGTCTCACAATCGCGTGAAAGACGAAAAATAGTATTTTTTCGCATAGTGTTACGATTCCACTGCGATGAGTCGAGGGGATACGGAGGTCGTGGGAATTTCAGAGGCCGGGGCAATGCTTGATCGACACATTTTGTAGTCTTCTCTGTTTTTCAATTCAATACTTTTCAATTCGTTTTCTCCGCTGTACTACTTCGCTGGAATTATTGCACTCGTGGAAAATTACACGGCGAATTTCCAGTTAGGAAATTGGAAATTTTTCAAGAATTTTTCATTGATGATTCAGTTAATCTCGTTGATATTCTGGTGATTCTCAATTTTCAGGTCCATGTGGCACTGGGTATCCGAGAAAATAATAGAAATTCAGGCAATAAATTCTCTGAATTTTCAATATTAGTCTAGAATTAACGTGGAATTAACGTGGAAAATCCAATTTTCTCGAATGTTCAAGATGAATGAAAAATTTACTGAGCGTTTTTAATTGGAATTTAAGATATTTCAATAAATTTTTAACAGTGTAGTTGGTTCGATGTCGGCGGTTGATGAAAGCAGTTGGAGAGGTGGTGGAGGAGATAGGATGATGTCTTAAGGATGCACTTTTGACTCTGAAGGGTTTTGAGGACTTGAGGCATTTCTCGAGTGTTAGACACATGACGATGGGAGTTTCCCATCTGGTGTTTTGGCCTTATCAGGGGTACAAACGCGTGCCGACTAATTTTTTTCGAGATAGGGCGGAGAAGAGGCATGATAGGACAACTTTAATGATGACCGAAAGGGACAAGTTTTCGAATGAGTTTTTTTTGCTGATTCACAAGGCAAATGTAAATTGTTTTCGGTTGTCTCTGTATTTTTTTTTTTTTTCATTTTTAGGAATAGGTCTTTTATTCTTGAGGAGGCAGTTTAGATAGCCTGACGACGTTGAAAAAACGAAGCTAACCGTCTCAGTCAAGTCAATTCACGACAATTATAAAGTGAGGTCATCTACGAAGTTTACGAGATGCGTTGACGCGGCGAATTAATTTAATAAATTCCTTACTCAGACCCTGGGTCGAACTCTAATGTATACGATGTCTCTGACCATTTTTTTTCCTCGTCGTTCCACTCGGTATTATGCCCTGGGTCATGCGGGATATTATTTCTTTGTTCTACCTGGAGTATAAAAAATGTTTGCAGGAAGATTGGAGCTTCTGTGCCAACGGAAAAACTTATGGAATGGAAATGTACGTGGACGAGTTCACTGGTGAGGTGTTTTAGAGGATAAACAGAAAGAGTTGGATGGGAATTTTATGCTGGTGGATGCCCGCATGTTACGAACATCACTTTAACTATCTTATCGATAAACATGACCAGCATGATGATGAATACCTCCATTTTGTAGACCAAATAAGGCAAAAATTCGTTCCACAGGACTTTGAATTGTTTTGTCGAAATAACTGAAACGTCTCGTTAATTTTCTTCTCTTTCGAAAAATCGATGAAATCTTCTTTACACTTTAAATTTTCATATCTACAGATGTATTTCTTGATTATCCAGTAATTTCAATTCAACATTTTTGTGGGAGTGATCTTGAGATTGAAAAATACTGGGACTTGGAGAAGTGGTTTGATGATGACCTCGGAGATGGGATACCACCATCACCATCGAATTGACGAAAATCTTCGTCTCGAAAATGGAAAAGAATGAATAAAAAAAAAACGAAGGAGTCTCCCGTCTGTTGCTCTCCTCCGAGCATATGGTAAGCACCGCTGACGTCCGACTTTTGGTTGATCGCAATGCTGTCCATATGGCACAAAACCACTCTTGGGTTGGTATTCTATCCTGGCTTTTATTTTTTTCCTGTCTTAGCCTCTGAGAACCAATATTATATATCTAACACACACTCGGATGGAAAACATTTGAAACGTTACCAACTACCACGGCACTTATATTTCTAAAGAAAACCACGGATTCTATTTGCGGAGTATATATACCGCCAGTCGTAATTTGCGGTCCCCAACGTAGGGGCGTACAAGCGCGACACTCTTGGAGGTTTTGTCTGCCTTTATGCCCCCCAAATCCGAGGAAACGAGAAAGAATTGAAAATAAAAATAGAAAGAAATAAAAAGCGATTGAAACAAAGAGAGGGTTATTTAAAATTCATAAGGAGTTGGTAATGGAATGATTTCTCATTCATCCTCCATATGGGAGTATTTTGCGATTGATCGGGTGAATAATTTTTACCCTCTCCTTTTATAAACACCCAGTATTAGTCTCACGGGGGCAGTTGTTGGGGCACGCAAAACGGAAGACGGTGAATAATAGAAAGGAGGAAGAAGCGAAAACCACATGATTCGGGGGGTCGTGGAATTGCTTGGAAGGAGAAAAATGAAAGAGAGAAGGAGAAGGAGATCCATGAGAGACATCTCGACGCACCATTTCCGGGCACATGGTCCAAGTTTTGGACGGTGTGGTATACTTTATCCTTCCGTTTCTATTTTCCCCCACTCACTTCACTTCTTACACGCTAATTCGGTATTTCAGGTTCAAAGGATTTTCAAGGTCAGTCACAATTTGCCATCGACAATTTCCAAGTCTCATACAATTCTTTCTCCTCTCAGAACATTTGTGATGAGACAAATGGACATGTGGTGCTGAAATGGGATTCAAGATGTTGGGAAGGGTGAATTTGTTTGCAGCTGATTTGACGTTTCCAAGGGGAAGGATCATTTCCATACTCAGAATATTGTTTTTGATTGAGTTGGGGTGGAGTGTAAGCCGGATTTACCAGGAATTACTCGGAATTTAATGCACAATGTGCAATACTTTAGATTGATATTTCCGTACACTTCGAGGAAATTTTCGTCATCTTCTCCGCAATGGATAATGAATAATTACCGAAAAATCAGCGGAAACGGATCATTTCGGATCATGTGAAGACGATGGCAAAAAGTTCGTTGAACTTTATACCCTGGAATCTTCTAATGATGTTCCGAAAGCAAGGGGAAAGGGAGGGAGGGTGAAATATGAGCATTCCAACGACTGCTCCTTTATTTTTCACGGTTTCCATGTCTGCAGAATGCAATCAGAATGTTTTTGCTCAAACTCTCGCCAATTATTAAAAACAATTCACCCGAGAAAATAAATATGAGCGATATTTGTACCTCTCGCCGAACGGAAGTAAAATTCCGCGTCTTTTAGTCCCGATATTGTTTGAAAAATCTCTAAAAATAGGGTTCGCTCGATTACAGGAATAGTTTTGCAATTTTTCTCCGACATTTTTAGTGCGTGCATTGCCTGCCGAATTAACAATAACCCCTTCCGACATTTCAAGGAACGAAGAACCGCCAAAGAGCTTCCTCTGCAAGTGGTCTCAGTGGCAGTTTATTTTAGCTTGAACGATGCCTCTCGCCACGTGTCCATTAAAAACATTGGGTTAACACGAGTTTCCACTCGGTGTCTTCCCTTTTATAACTCCTACAACCTATCCCGACGTCACGTGTCACCCATTCGCTGGTCATAGAGCAGTGGCAGCAGCCAACGCTGCCAACAATGTCAGAACATACAGGAACCAACTCATCACCGTAACTTTTCTCTCAAAAGGCAAAAACTCGTTTGAAAAATGAGTGCTACCCTCTTTCTCCCTCTCGCTGGTGTTTTTTTTTTCTCTTCTCTCGTTGACCCGAGGCCAATGCATTTGCAATAAATAAAAACCATAGGATAAAAGAGAAGAATAAACCGGGACTTACCGGTTCCCTTGAGTTGTATCAGACGTGCGCAAGCCGTTGGGCATGTGGCTGGGTATGATGCACCAGTCTTCCCTGTTCCTGTTCCCACCAGCTAACGACGTCCATGAACTCCCCAGTCTCGGTGATCTCCTGCTTGTAGTAAAGAGCCCCCGAAAATCCCTCAGGACTAGCAGCATAAATGGTACCACCCTCTTCACTGTCACCAGCACCACTGTACGGTGACACTATTCTCGGTTCAAGATTCTCCTCGTTCTGGGTGTAATACTCTGTTTGGGGTGATGCCAGTGACGTTGGAGAGAGTCTAGAAAAGGTTTGATTGATGTTCGCCGAACGTTGGAGGGTTCCTGGCTCCAGATTCTCCTCGTCACCAGTTGACTGCCCGTAGTAATCGCTCGGGGATATTGATGATGTCACGGGATTTGGTGACAATCTTTAACATGAACATGATTGAGTGATAAATTCGTTAATTCTCAGGACATACAGTGAGTGTTGGCCTTTTTTTAAAAATCATTCTATGGTTTTCGTACATTTTATTATAATTCTAACGAGTCTCGTTTTAAACCACCAAAGAGGGGCAAGACAGGTCCACGCGCATTGTCTACCATAAATCTTGCCCTCCGTGTCGAGCGGACAAGACCAGAAGTAGAAGTGCAAAAAGTGGATAGTAAAAAAAATGGTAAAATGAAAGAGGCAGAAAGGAATTAATGCATGGACAAAATATGATTATACTCGGGTTTTGCCATTGGGGACTTTTGCATTCTCGTGGCGCTGATCCCACCCCGCGGGACAACAACGGAGATAGAGACCCTTCTTTGGCATTTTTTTTTTTTGCATTTTACTCGTGCGTTTGTTATACTCGCATATGCGAATCGAGTGGGGCTCTCTTGAGAGAGAACCCAAAGGGCCACAACGGTGAATTAATTTGGGGCCAAGTTATAATTCCAGAGTGAAAAGAACCGTGTAAAAAAACACGTCAGACTGTTAACGGAGGGTAAAAGGGGGTGAAGTGAATTTTTAAAATAAAATGAATATTTCAATTCCTCGGTGAATTTGAGGGAATGGGTTCAACTTTTCGACACGAATTACACAGTTTAAAAATTGTGGGGTAAAAACTTTTCGCTCACAATTTCAATTAGAATGTAGTAATTGCTGATAACCGGTCAATGAATTGAAGATTGAATAATTCCGTTTATCAATAGTGATAATTCTAGAAGTGCAAATGAAAAAAAAATTCTCCCTTTTTCTAAATAAAATCAGATTCTCACCTAGTCAGTAGCGTGACCCTCTTGTTCTCCTCGTCCTCGTCATCCTGGTGGTTGTCTCCTTCATCCTCTTCCGGATTGACCTCATCCTCGAGGGCAAGTCTTTCCCCAGAGCCGTTATGACTTGAAGAGACAATACTACTGCTCGGTGATGGGACATTATTTCCAATTCCAGCATTAGGATCGTATTCAAGCCCATCGGCTTCAGCGAGCAATCTCTGCAATCCCCGGATGTACTCAACCGCCATCCTGAGGGTCTCAACCTTGGATAATTTCTTACCCCTATCCCCATAACCCGCAGCAATATGATTGGGTATGTGTTGCCTGAGGGTTGCAAATCCATTATTAACTTGTTTAACTCGATTTCTCTCCCTCGCATTGCGTTTTGCCACCGCAACCGGCGGCGGTTGTCCATTTTTTCCATGTTTCTTCAATCTCGTGGGATCATAAGGAGGCAATACACTCGAATTAATATTCGAGTTGTTATTCAATCCCTTCTGGACGATCAAGTGCTGCTGATTCCCGAGGATATTACTCTCATTATCCTGCAGCGTTCTCAGTAACATTAACTGCTCCTGATCTCCATTATTAATCTGCACTCTGTTGCAGTACACGGTGACTCCCATAGTCGTCATTTTCACGTGGATAATCCTCACTTACTCCAGAAAAAAACAATTATCTAAATAATCGAACAATTTAAGCCTCGACTCCAGCAAACTCTCAACTCTTCCCTCTGCACTTATTCTGTTGTTTCAAACTTCTCAGTTATCCTCATCAACTCTAATGCCACTCGAGGACAAATCTAATTGATGCCCGGGTTTTATAAATAAAACGCTTCGATGCTAGTCGAAGAGCAATAGAACGAGTAGTGAAAAAAAATTGAGGAATTATGACAGTGGAAAAAACAAGCGTTAGTCTGACAAAACGGTTCTGTCAGATCGTCAGCCAATTTGTCACGGTTCTCACACGATCAACTGAATTTCAATCGAATTCCCCTACTCCTCTCGATTGCCCTGTTTTTATTTATTCAATTTGTCAGTAATTATCACTGTCGTCTCCACCCTGTTCTAACTGGATAAATGTTGGATATCAATTGTCGCTCTGGCGCCGTTGAGTGGTCGCATGAGGTCACTCGTTTAAACGGCCGTCGATTTTGGATAATACAATTTACAATATAATTGTCACGTGTACATCATTGGAAGCACTAATTCACTAGCTGGACACTTTGATCGGTGAATTTACACTATATGGATTTATTTTGAATAAACTTCAACACACGTCGCGTGCTACGCGCCGCATGGCGTCCGCATTCGGAATGAGCTCCTTCTTACACATCCGATAGGAGTGATGGTTTAGGTATTGCCATGGCGTTGGTTTTTGTATACGCACACATGCCAAGTTATAACAGAAGTGCGGAGTTGTACTTTAGGGGAAGGACTGCTTGTGGAGAATTGGTAGTGGGGGATTTCGAGCACGCGCCGAACAACTATACCAGCCCCCTTGTACCAGCCTAAAGGGACGGCAAATTCACCATCTTGCTTTTTCTTATGGGGCCTCCATCTGCTTAGCAAAACCTCTCACTTTAACATCTACCTCCATCTTTCCAACTACTCTAACTATTCGAGGTGGTGGTACATTGCATTTGTGTGTTGGTTCCTGGTGGGGCTGTTCTCGGCGCGAGCCATATGGCAGACATGGGAAATTCGGTTGTTGCCTTCAGGTGAATGACTGGATCATGAGAAATTTCAGGATTTTTTATTGATTATTATTCCACGTTATTGGTCATTATTGACTATTCAACGGTTACAGGGGGGTGGTCACATTACCGCGGATATTACACCCGTAGGATTTATTGTGATTTATTGTCGCGGTAGTTTTGGGGGTGAATGAAGTTTTTCGAGGGAAGTCTTTGGTCGAATAATATTTGGGGGATTAGTTTTATTTTTTAGATAGCAAGGGGTGAGTTGATGTGGTTGGTCGGATTTGTGCAATTGAAATTGAAAAATGGGAAAAATTCAGGCTATGGTATCGTTGTTGTCCGTTTAATGTTGATTCTCTGTCAACAATGCATAATGAATACACTGATCATTAGCACCGATCAAGTCAATAAATTCCCCGCAGGGATGTTGCAACGATTGATACCAATCCAAAGCAATTGAGCGCCGGCGTTTTCCATTGATTCTATTGTTTCAAACCGATTAGTTGATGTCATTGAGTCGAGTATCACTAAAAAATATTGGTAATTGCTTCCGACATAGTTATAAAACGAGAATAATCATCGAGAAGCCAAATTTGAAGCAATACGCATCTCGATTCCTTGAATATGTCAGATACATGCCGAATACGTGCGCATAGTAATTATATAATAGGATATTGTATTTTCATGTATAATTAATATATATTTCGCATACATCCCATTTTCATCCAACCTGTTCTCCCGATTTAATCACAAAATTCTACAATGAACAACAACAGAACAATCCACCTGATCTGCAGCATCTCGAGAAACAAATAATCGAACATTGACTTGGAATTCCCCATAAAATAACTATCTGCTGAAAAGTTTATTTGAACTACCAATGAAATAAACAACGGGCCCAGTGGGACTCAATGGCTTTCCGGTGTGCATTTGACAACAAGACGTGTTTTGCAGTCCAACAGCAGTCATCATCGAGTCAGTAAAATAAATTTGACAGAACACCCACGTGAGGTAAGTGTAGGACACAAATTCATATCCAAAGGGGAAAGGGTTTAGAATTTGTTTGGGTAAATCTGCTGGGTTGTTATGAAAGCATCGATCGGAGATTACCGGAGATGCTCAGCGGGGATAAAAACCCAGAGGAATAAAAACGTGTGTTGTGCCATTTGCATATTTTTTCATACACGCATCATGCCCCCTTATCTTTTATTTGTAACCCCGGTATACGGTATTTGCCAAACGTTTAATTCCAGTGGATTTCTTTCATCTGGCTCTTCCTACCACGCTCTAATTGCATACGGGATGAATAAATGAATTTATATCCGTAATAAAGGGGCACTATTCAATGGGGTTATGAAAGATTCTTTTTTTTTTTTCGATAAAAATTCCGGGGGATGATCTCCAGGTGTTCGATCTCAATGATTTCACGTCAATAAGAAAATATATTGATGTATGAAATATGATGGAATGTGGGAGCGAAATATCATGTGAATCTCGATGCATCTTATTCATTATTTTATACTTGGGGCTTTTGAAAAGCGAATGCGGAATGGGCGGGGGGAGTTGGAATATTCGGTGTGCCACGGAAGTTTCGTGTTTCGGGGCGGGGATAGAGTTTGGGGTTGGAGATGAGTTCCGGTGTTGTACGTGTGTTTGATGCAGTTTTTTTTTCTTCTCCTCTCGGTGGTTATTTTTGAAAATTTACACCACTTGGAGGCGGCTTTCTCCGATTGATGGGAAATGCTGGCGAGTTGCGAAACAAACGTGTTAATGGGGGGGCGGTGCGGTGGAAAAATATGGATTTCACAGCTTATCGTGGGGGCAACATGTCCACCTTATGTTCCTTAATGGTCCAAATGTCTCGGGTATTCATTAAAATTCGTAATTTTCATTTTTTTTTCTTCATTACAGAAAATGATTTTTCATTTTTGGACAGCAGTTGGGGAATTAATCGAAGTACAACGATTTTCTGGGAGAGGCAAATTATGAGGGATGAAAAAGGGAATTGCTGAACGAGTTTTTCGGGGATGATCAAAATGAAATCAGGAATGTTCACCCGGTGCAACTGGTTGAACGAGAATTTATTCACTGAGCCGCTGCGATAATGCGGTCTTGCTATTTTTATTTTCAAACCTTTTTTTTTAATTAGATCAGAGTCTGGGGGACAATGGGGATTGGAGTGAAGGGTAGATGCGCATAAATCAAAATTGCACCCCTACGATTAACATTCGAAAAAGCCGGGATTTTGCCGGTGGTGGAGAGAGATGTAGTGGAAAAGGGGCTAAGGTATAACTAAGCCGAAATTTGGGACTAAAGCCTGGGGTACCATAAAGTGGGGCTCCACCGAATTTATAATATGGAATATGTCGTGAGTAAAAAATTGAATGATGGCACCGATGGTACTGATGGCACTAATACGTGTCTCGAGTTAAATTTCCTCTTTTCTGGTATAACCGGACTCCGGATGCCCTGAGGTTTTCATGGAAATGGGGGACGATGGAACACACCAGTCGCGGGATTTTCGGGGATTATTGGGTTGAATGGATGTGGGATTTTTCTTGGATACGATGCACAGATGTCACGTGTCTTATCTGTTTTTTATTAGACTGTTGGAAAATTACGTTTGGAATTTCAAGTGAAAAAATTGAACCATTTTATCCAGTTCTCAATCATTTTTCTTCCTGTAAAAATCATTTCGGTAATTGAAAGAACTATAAAATTCTCGTCGGTTGAACTTCGCCCCAGCATTGACACTTTTTTTCATTTTCATTTTTCACACTCGTTATCAATTTCAGTGAAAGAAAAAAACATGTTTTATTCTTTGACTGGTCGGAAAAAAATATTCGGGAATAAAAAAAGGAAATGAGGAAGCAAACACGTAAAGTGATGTATGAGTAATGGATCGTCACGAATGACGGGGAAAGAAAAAACCAAACGATGAAAGTTGAAGGAAAGGCGTTCACTGACGGCATGAGGGAGATGAACACGTGTGATACCCGACGACGATTTCATAAATCACAGCAAGGTCGTTAATATCTCATCCTAACCAATACCACGTGCTGGCCACTCGGTGGGGCACATTCTCCCACATGCAAAACTCCACGGATTGGTTTTTTTTTCCGGCTGAACTTTATCTATCGGGTCAAATGAACCAAGTCTCATGGTGAGAGTCTCGAGAGACTTATTACAGTGACAAGAAATTCAGGGATTGACTTTTTCCGGAATTTCTCAGAGGACACATAAATTTCCACTATTTAGGAAAAATTTGTCCCTTCATTTTTTCACATGAATTGTTTAATCCCCGGAGAAAATCACTATTTCCAACTCGTCTCTCCTGATTTTTTTTTGTCACAAAGAAAATTTAAAAAATTATCATTTTCGTTCTGGATGATTAACAATATTAATTAACGTTTAATTCATTTTAAATTCAATCTATTCAATATTTTATAATATTTAATTTAAAAAAAATGACGATGACAAATTTTAACATAATACAAATAATTAGAATGTACAACATAAATGATTCATTATAATTTTCCACTACATAAGACTAAAAAATAATTTAGAATTCCGGAAACACGAAAAAAAATCGGGACAATTCACTGGATTTAGTGCAGACGTCCTTGCAATGGGTGAGAGTAATAATTTTGAAGTACAATGTCGATGAATAATTAATGAAGTATGAGAGTAAGAGAAAAGAATAAAGGCTTAATGGTCGAAAAGGCAAAATATAAAGTATAAATGCCGATAGAGTCGAAGGGCCAACGCAATGTCGAGCGGGAAAACGTTTGCGCTGAATAGAAATGGGGGGGTGGGGGGGCAGGGGTGGCAATCTATGGGGTTTTTGAGGGGTAAAAAGGGAAAAGAGGGGGAGGGTGGATGCCGGTGCGGGCCCTTTGTTGGGGCGCGTGCCCTTGCACGTGTGCAAGACCAATGCCTACGCACTTCTGTTACGCACCATCCAGAACTTGCGTATACACAGGCTATTTCCATCTCCCTCGAAAACCCTAGGACTTCACATCGTAGGTGCTCTCTATTCAATCCCGAAAAAAAGGTAATTCTACTCCCCTTCATCATTTTCTCTTTGCTTCTGATATACATCTCTCCCTCACTCACTTTGTATGACTCTGTCAAATTGACGCGTCGCACTCACTTCTGCGTGTCGTTATGCGACCCCCCGTAACACAATGTACTAAATTATACCCGATCGTATAAGAGCCTTATTGCCAAACCTATTGAGAAACGATACCATTCGGATATATATTTTTTTTCAGCCTCGAGCACGTGTGTAAATCGCATTCCTTGTATTTAGTGCAGTCCGTGCGAAAAGTCTCGAATAACTTACCGTTTCGGTTCATGTGAGAAAGTTGGCGGGTCATTTACCGTTTTTATGCTGAATTTATTGTGATGATGTGGATATATGAAAAGTGAATTTTGAGTGAATTTATGTGTCACTGTTGGACGCCATAAACTCCTCGAAGAAAAAAAAAAATCCTCGGAGATAGGATGAGTGAATACTCCAGGAATTTCGATGGCGCCGGGATGACAGGCATTGACTCATGCACCCAATGGGCTCTGATCCCTCGTTTTTAATCACC